TAATAATTATACTAAAAAAAAAACAAGTAAAGTTTTCGAAAAAATTGGCAAAATAATATAAAAAATTAAAATTCCAAAATTAGAACGAAAGCACGAAAAAAATCTTCCTTAAATTACTCACATTTTGAAAGATATAAAAATTGGAAACGTACTAACCCGTTTCATCATTCAAAAAATTTGCATTTTTATTTTTCAAAATGAAAACATTATTATTTGCAAATAAAAATTTTGTTTTTTTAAGCTTTATGTTTAATATTATAAAATATAAATTGTAAAACTAAACGAAATTAATGTAATTTTTTTTTATTTTCAAGTGATTATTAAAAAACTTAATTTAAAATGCTACTATTGGTACAAAAATAATTGATTAAAACACGAGTATCTGAGGAATCACCCCACGAATGCTTTAACACCAGTTACGGACCACTTTGTACATTAAATTCATTAATATACATGAATATATCTTAAACTTATATTATTTTGCCTTAATATTCTGAGTTATACATTATATTGATCACTATATTTATTTTTAAAAACAATTTAAAAAACGCCGTCGGGTAACATATACAAATTTTAATGTATGATTTTTACCCAAAAGTTCTTCATTGCATAAAATATCAATCTAAAAAATAAATAATTATTTGAAATTTCACAAATATTTCAAAATATTAGGCAAAACAGAATATGTCAATTCTCAATTATATTAATTTTCAAAGAGCCCTTAAATTTATTTTAACTAAAATAAAACTTGACAATAAATTTAAATGCGTACATATATATATTCGCGATTTTCTGCACAAAGTGCTAATTTTAATTCACATACTTTCACGTTTTCAAGGTCTCAAATCATTGGTCATTGAGATTTGTTATGCCTATTTTGATATTGAAAAAGATTTATACCTCTCTATATTTTTCTATTCCGTTTAAAACTTTTTTTTGCTAAAAATTTCTTTAAATGAGTGATAGTTGATTGAGAACTACACCTAGAAAACCTTCATTGCAATTTTTTTAAATTGTTACTACTACACTCTAAACAAACATTAACTAGCTCATCTAAACTATGATAGCCGGATTCAGCATGTGCTTCATTAACCTTGTCATCATCATCTTCATGATTCTGTAGTAAATCTTTTGGACAAGCTATATTACGACTTCTATAAAAATCTCTTTCCCTCTTCATTTCATCTAAAAAGAAATATTTCTTTTCAAAAAGTTCCCAGTAAACTTTCAACGTAAGTAAACCCAGTAAACTTTAATACTATAATCCAATAAGTTTTTTTCCAGTATGACGTTCAGCGCTATCTGTTGTCAAGTATTTATATTCAGACTGGAGAATTTATGTCATAATCAATACAAACTATAAAATATATGTTTTGAGTATAATCAGTTTAATAATTTGGGCCATATTTTTTAACGCTTTCATATATAATACTGCGTTTTTACTTTACAATATGTGTCCAAACTGAACACTAAAATAAAAAAAATTTTGACATTCTAAATCTTCTGTCAACAAATTATATACATGTTCTAATCATTTTATTTGCAACATGTTTATATTTGCGCGGTTTCGTGTCAAACCAAATGTATGTGTTAAACACATTTCATATTGATTTTTTTTCTTCAAATTTTATTTTACTGATCGTTTAGTGTATATGTATGTGTTTATCTACATATTCACTATATGACCAACAAATTTAAGCTATAAATTAGACACGTCCATATGTATTTTATTTGCATACATATCCATTTTAAAAAACAAAAGGGATTTCATACTTAAAAAGCTTTTAAAATATGTAAGTTTTACAATTTTAATGCCTTTATTACATTCACACTTATGTATGTGTACGTATTCTAACTTTTTATTAATATTTTCCCATATTTTTTAGTGAGGTATAAACGACCACAAAATAAATGCACACAAAGTAATTTATGTTTATGTAGCTGTCAATAAAAAAGCAAAGTATAATAAATTGTAAGAATCATAGAATCCAAGCACAAACATAGTCTGTTAGATTCAAATAAAATACATATGGATTGGTTTTATAATAATTATACTAAAAAAAAACAAGTAAAGTTTTCGAAAAAATTGGCAAAATAATATAAAAAATTAAAATTCCAAAATTAGAACGAAAGCACGAAAAAAATCTTCCTTAAATTACTCACATTTTGAAAGATATAAAAATTGGAAACGTACTAACCCGTTTCATCATTCAAAAAATTTGCATTTTTATTTTTCAAAATGAAAACATTATTATTTGCAAATAAAAATTTTGTTTTTTTAAGCTTTATGTTTAATATTATAAAATATAAATTGTAAAACTAAACGAAATTAATGTAATTTTTTTTATTTTCAAGTGATTATTAAAAAACTTAATTTAAAATGCTACTATTGGTACAAAAATAATTGATTAAAACACGAGTATCTGAGGAATCACCCCACGAATGCTTTAACACCAGTTACGGACCACTTTGTACATTAAATTCATTAATATACATGAATATATCTTAAACTTATATTATTTTGCCTTAATATTCTGAGTTATACATTATATTGATCACTATATTTATTTTTAAAAACAATTTAAAAAACGCCGTCGGGTAACATATACAAATTTTAATGTATGATTTTTACCCAAAAGTTCTTCATTGCATAAAATATCAATCTAAAAAATAAATAATTATTTGAAATTTCACAAATATTTCAAAATATTAGGCAAAACAGAATATGTCAATTCTCAATTATATTAATTTTCAAAGAGCCCTTAAATTTATTTTAACTAAAATAAAACTTGACAATAAATTTAAATGCGTACATATATATATTCGCGATTTTCTGCACAAAGTGCTAATTTTAATTCACATACTTTCACGTTTTCAAGGTCTCAAATCATTGGTCATTGAGATTTGTTATGCCTATTTTGATATTGAAAAAGATTTATACCTCTCTATATTTTTCTATTCCGTTTAAAACTTTTTTTTGCTAAAAATTTCTTTAAATGAGTGATAGTTGATTGAGAACTACACCTAGAAAACCTTCATTGCAATTTTTTTAAATTGTTACTACTACACTCTAAACAAACATTAACTAGCTCATCTAAACTATGATAGCCGGATTCAGCATGTGCTTCATTAACCTTGTCATCATCATCTTCATGATTCTGTAGTAAATCTTTTGGACAAGCTATATTACGACTTCTATAAAAATCTCTTTCCCTCTTCATTTCATCTAAAAAGAAATATTTCTTTTCAAAAAGTTCCCAGTAAACTTTCAACGTAAGTAAACCCAGTAAACTTTAATACTATAATCCAATAAGTTTTTTTCCAGTATGACGTTCAGCGCTATCTGTTGTCAAGTATTTATATTCAGACTGGAGAATTTATGTCATAATCAATACAAACTATAAAATATATGTTTTGAGTATAATCAGTTTAATAATTTGGGCCATATTTTTTAACGCTTTCATATATAATACTGCGTTTTTACTTTACAATATGTGTCCAAACTGAACACTAAAATAAAAAAAATTTTGACATTCTAAATCTTCTGTCAACAAATTATATACATGTTCTAATCATTTTATTTGCAACATGTTTATATTTGCGCGGTTTCGTGTCAAACCAAATGTATGTGTTAAACACATTTCATATTGATTTTTTTTCTTCAAATTTTATTTTACTGATCGTTTAGTGTATATGTATGTGTTTATCTACATATTCACTATATGACCAACAAATTTAAGCTATAAATTAGACACGTACATATTATGTATTTTATTTGCATACATATCCATTTTAAAAAACAAAAGGGATTTCATACTTAAAAAGCTTTTAAAATATGTAAGTTTTACAATTTTAATGCCTTTATTACATACACACTTATGTATGTGTACGTATTCTAACTTTTTATTAATATTTTCCCATATTTTTTAGTGAGGTATAAACGACCACAAAATAAATGCACACAAAGTAATTTATGTTTATGTAGCTGTCATTAAAAAAGCAAAGTATAATAAATTGTAAGAATCATAGAATCCAAGCACAAACATAGTCTGTTAGATTCAAATAAAATACATATGGATTGGTTTTATAATAATTATACTAAAAAAAAAACAAGTAAAGTTTTCGAAAAAATTGGCAAAATAATATAAAAAATTAAAATTCCAAAATTAGAACGAAAGCACGAAAAAAATCTTCCTTAAATTACTCACATTTTGAAAGATATAAAAATTGGAAACGTACTAACCCGTTTCATCATTCAAAAAATTTGCATTTTTATTTTTCAAAATGAAAACATTATTATTTGCAAATAAAAATTTTGTTTTTTTAAGCTTTATGTTTAATATTATAAAATATAAATTGTAAAACTAAACGAAATTAATGTAATTTTTTTTTATTTTCAAGTGATTATTAAAAAACTTAATTTAAAATGCTACTATTGGTACAAAAATAATTGATTAAAACACGAGTATCTGAGGAATCACCCCACGAATGCTTTAACACCAGTTACGGACCACTTTGTACATTAAATTCATTAATATACATGAATATATCTTAAACTTATATTATTTTGCCTTAATATTCTGAGTTATACATTATATTGATCACTATATTTATTTTTAAAAACAATTTAAAAAACGCCGTCGGGTAACATATACAAATTTTAATGTATGATTTTTACCCAAAAGTTCTTCATTGCATAAAATATCAATCTAAAAAATAAATAATTATTTGAAATTTCACAAATATTTCAAAATATTAGGCAAAACAGAATATGTCAATTCTCAATTATATTAATTTTCAAAGAGCCCTTAAATTTATTTTAACTAAAATAAAACTTGACAATAAATTTAAATGCGTACATATATATATTCGCGATTTTCTGCACAAAGTGCTAATTTTAATTCACATACTTTCACGTTTTCAAGGTCTCAAATCATTGGTCATTGAGATTTGTTATGCCTATTTTGATATTGAAAAAGATTTATACCTCTCTATATTTTTCTATTCCGTTTAAAACTTTTTTTTGCTAAAAATTTCTTTAAATGAGTGATAGTTGATTGAGAACTACACCTAGAAAACCTTCATTGCAATTTTTTTAAATTGTTACTACTACACTCTAAACAAACATTAACTAGCTCATCTAAACTATGATAGCCGGATTCAGCATGTGCTTCATTAACCTTGTCATCATCATCTTCATGATTCTGTAGTAAATCTTTTGGACAAGCTATATTACGACTTCTATAAAAATCTCTTTCCCTCTTCATTTCATCTAAAAAGAAATATTTCTTTTCAAAAAGTTCATATTAAAATGCAAAATATATCAACGCACTTTCTTGCAGATTCGGTACTAGTTTATATACTTAATACAAAAACTTATATATTGCAATGGATGTGACTGATGAATAACATTCTCGCATGTCGGACAAGTTTTCTTTTCTTCCAAGTGTTTTACTAAACAACTTTTGCAAACTAAAATTATGTTGTGTGTTTAATTTTTTCAATAAAAACTTTGTTTTAAAAAATATTCAATTCAAATTCCCGATATATAAAATTAAATACTCTCGAGACTTACATGTATGTAAACATTCAGTGACTGTGGTTGCATCAATGAAGTAGCCTCCACATATTTTGCAAGTTATATGAGTGTTTAAAGTACGTAATCTTATTCTTCTTTCCATATTAATATTTCATATATGATTTCCCTCTTCTTCTTGAACAATTTGTTAAGCGCCGTTGCTCAGCTTAATTTTTTCAATCAAAAAGCGTTTTTCCCGCTAAAAAATTATAAAAATTGGTTAAAAAAATTTTTATTCCATAACAATTTCAGTATTTAGACGATATCTACTACAATTTCATATCGAAACATAAGACTATAAATATTTTTAAATTTTAGATTTTGATTTCCATTTCTTCGGAATTCTCGTCTACGTCTTTATAACTTGTTTTATAAATAGATTTTGGTTTTATGTACTCTTCTTTTATATAAACGAAGGGATTTATTCTCAATTGTTCACTACTTGGAGGACTCTTAAAAATTACTTTAGTTATGAATTTTCCTTCCCGCTTCGGACGATTTGAATTTACATCTTTTAAAAGAGAAACTAAGTTGCCTTCTAATTCTTCACTTTTCATATTTAACTAAAATAAAAATTTAAATATTATATATTGAATTTTCCAATTGGATAATAGAATTTTCTTACAGTCCCAATACATGTTGTAATTGAAGCAAAATCTGGCTGATTTTCATCTTTTTCCGCCTTATATTCAATTCCATTTGAAAATTTGGTGATTATATCTTTCAAATTAGGTTGTAGTGCTTACTGGTAAATCAAAATATATGAAAATATGTCAAAACAATTTAACTTTTTCTAATTTGACATCTTGCACTCAGCGCCACATATTGGCAACTAAAGACTTTCATACAACCCAGTAAAGACTTTTTAAATTTGACATCAGCGCCAAAGTATTTATATTCTAAACTAAAGATTTCAAAACATATTTTCTTACTAACAACAATGAAATTTTTGCAGGATTTCTTTAAGAGAAAAACTCTCGGAAAACAGCAGAAAATAAAATGAATTTTTAAATTTTTAATTGAAAACAGGGTACTTTCTTTACACTAGTCCTATAATCAACGAAACCAACTACAACAATATAATACAATATTGCTTATAATACTTACAACGTGCCTTTTTTTGTCGGTATATATTTAATCTATTTCGTTATACGAATTAGAAATGCAACTTTCAAAAGTATATGTAAATCCAATCTAAGTCTGAATCTTATTCAAACAAGATTATAGTCAACGTAAGAAAACCTAGTAAACTTTCATAATATAATCTCATAAACTTTTTTTCTAATAAAACATCTAGCACTCAGCTATTTATTGTCAAGTATTTATATTAAAAACCTGTTTTCAATCTCCTAGGTCATTATAGCCAATAATTTGGCATTTTGAAAAAGTAAATGACAATTAATATTATGCTAATTTTCACAGTGACTTTATCTATGCTTTTAAGCTGCTCTCTCTTCCTCTTGAACAATATGTTAAGCGTCGTTTCTCAGCTTCATTTTTTTTTGCTTTTTCTTCTAAAAATTGTTTATTTTATGCTTACATTAATACCATGACTTATTTGAAAATTTCATTACATTATGTAACTATATGTATATTGAAAAGTTTATCGATTTTTTACGAAGTCAATATATTTTCTTTTGAAAATATATCCAGCATCCATTTAATCCATTTAATAGAAGTGAACTTTTTAGTTTGTAGCCCAGCTCCCATTCCGCGAAGTTAAAATTAAAGTTCGATACATTTTGAACAAAAATCCGATATTTTTTCCAGTGTGTGAGAACACTGCATACAATACGATGACAATTTTATATCAGATGACAATTAAAGTTCCAAATGTCTATATTCAAAACCGTACAATTGAAAATTTATGAATTTAGTATTAAAAGATGATCTAAAAAAATTTCAATGGCATTAAATTTATTTTTTTCCATTTGAATATAAAGGAAATAAGATATATAAGTGTTGAACATTACTTTTAAATATCAGCGGTTTCTTTTGTTTGCGGAGGCCGATATATTTGGAATAAAGCTGACGAGACTTTTCAATGTTATAAAATGTTGGTTTACATTAAGTGAATAGCTTCTACTAAAATTAGCTGAGCAAATAAAACTTATTTAACAGTGATAGTTAAACAAATTTTGCTGGTAAGATATTTTTAACTAAACTTTGTATAAAAATCCAATATACAGTTTAGTAGTAAGTGAATACGAATAAGTTTTTTTAATACGAATAAAAAACATTTTCCGAAAGAATCAAATCGACATTCGTTTAAATTCACAGAAAGTGTGTGCACTTCTCTTAAGAAAAAATACAAAAAGGACAAAATTACGTTTCATTATTTTGTAAATTTAATAAAAAATTTATGTACTTATATGTGTGTACGTGTGTTCTCCCAGCAGTATAAAATTATAGGTTATGTCATCACAAACCATTTAAAATATTTTTGACATCTAAATTTTTAAAATAGTGTTGGAACTAATAACTTAAAGTTTTGCAAATCATTCAACAATACAAGCTCTTGAAAAATTTTTTTTTGAAAATAGCAAAAATTCAACAAATTGTGGAAAAGCATTGCATAAATTGTGTTTTGAAAAATTTGATTGGCAATTTGTAATACTTGAAAAAATCAAATTTTCACACAAAATTAAAATAATTACGTAAAATAATTCATTATTTTGTTATGGAAAAACAACAGGAATATAGAAATAAAAAGCTTGAGTTACAACAAATTCAAAGTTTTTCGAAATAAATGTTTTAGTTTGTGCAATATTTGCTTCATATGCGGTAAAATTGAAATAAAACAAAATTTTTATGGCTGAAAAAACAAAGCTAAAAAAAATGTTCTTTGCCATTGTACGAATTCATCAAAGTAGGAAAAAATTTGTTAAGAAATAAAATAAATTGTAAATGTATATTTTAGATTTAGTTTTGTGTGATTGCTAAATTACAAATTTTCATTATTTTCTTGTTTAACTCAACGATCGTACATTTGTTTTAAATATATAAAACATATTTTATCAGCGCATTAAAAAAATATACGCCAAATTTGTTTCCAAAAACAAGAAAATCATAACATAACGTCTGACCTTAAGTTTTGCATTTAATTTTTAATTTCTAACATGCAGAAAAAATCAACATGAAAAAACTATAGACCCATCACTATGACAAACGATATATATATTTTGGAGAGTTTTATTTAATTAATGTCAAAATAATATTTTGAAGGCGGCTTTGCTTTGCGCGAATATTTTTATTTCCAAAGTTTATAAATTTATATAAATTACAATTTTCAAACTACCTAGTTGCACTTAATTTTAAATAATAAAATTACATGCATAACGCTAAAGCAACATTTTTTCCACTAAAAGTAGACTATTGCAATTTTTAGAAAACTTCCGCATCGGCAGCTAACTTACCAATGTGAGGATAGATACCATTTTATAGATTCATTATGTATAGGTAATGTCATTTCACAAAAGGATTAAATCACACTTAATGTATTAGTTTAATTTTAAGTTTTTGGAATAAGGTTAGTAAATATACATGCATACATACGTACATACCTAATTTTTGCTTCTATTTTCATATTATATAAAAATATTGTTTATGCTCAAGTATTAAAGGCAGATATTAAATTCTCCGTCTGAATTTATAAAAAACAACTTTTTTTATGTTAATAAGTAAGGCAATTCTTTTCATTAAAAGATGCCTTAGTTATTACCGCTGACGCTATTCTTTTTATTTTTTAGAATCATCTTGCGGGCAGAAAACGACAGAACATCTTAGAGTACGTAACAACAAATACCCAATATTTCTATATTTAAAAAATTATATTGGAGCAAATCAATTCAATTTAAACACGAATTTTTTTATAAAATCTTAAAGCGTTTTTTCATTAATAACAATAACTAGACATCAAAACTTTTATATTATCAACATTCACAATGAGCCCTAGAAGAAGAAATCGTGACAGCTCTCCTTGGTCAACAAAACGTTCAAGAAGTCGAAGTTATAGCCCAGGACGCCGGTATCGTCGCAGTCCCAGAAATGATAATAGAAGAAGGTCACGTTCGCGTGATAAATATGCTAAAAGAGATCAATCATCAAACAATTATAGAAGTGATTTTATACCGCATAAAGGAATTTCTTCGTCAAGAGTTCCACCACCGCCACCTCCAACTGTACATTCAATATCAACGGCAACCACATATAACCCTGTACCAGAACCAGATTATAAAAATTATGGTGGGTATAATCAATACAATACTATGCAACCAGATTATGGTCAATCTGCTATGACATCACAATTCAATATGTCATATCCACCACCACCATCGTGGGGCGCAGCTCCTACAGAAACACACGCAATGGCAGCGCCTCCACCTTGGCCAGTGGCTCCACCTATTCCAGCTCCTATCCACCAAGTTCAACCAGTACAACAAATTCAGCCTTTGAAAGAAAATAACTTTGATAATGCGCCTAGAGATGCAGCAGTAGCCCAAGAAATACAAAATCAACGTGAAGAACTTAAGAAGCAACGTAATGATTATTTGAGAAAATCTGATACCATGAAAAAGGAGCTCAAAATGTTAAAAGAACAAATGATTGATTTAATTGGCTCTGGCGACGCTCCTCCAAGTCCAACAACTAAAGGTTATATAGACGAAAATGAAAAACTGCAAGGTCAAATACAGAAAAAAATAAATACAATTGAAAATGTTCTTGATATGTTAAACGGTATTATTGGTGAAGACGATAAAAAAGACAATCTAACAGAAAAGCAAAAAAGTGAATCCAGTGATTCATCTCCATCATCTTCGTCGTCATCTTCGTCTTCAGAGTCAGACGATGATTCATCACCTGAGAGACTGAAGACAAAAGTAATTGAAAGTATGAAATCCAGGAAGGAATCACAAAAAAATGAAGAGAAAAAGAAGGAAAAACGGGAAAATAATGGCGTTTCAGAAAATAAGTTCAATTTTGTTTTCTATGACCCGGAAATGAATTGGTGCCAAACTTGTAATGTATTTCCAAAAAGTGCAAAGGACTATTTAAATCATTTGCATTGCAAAGAGCATATAGATAAAGTTCAAGTTCCACCAACGCCATGGCATGACGATTTTAGAAGTGATGAGTTTCCACATATAGAAAATGCACAAATAAAACGAGTTCCAATTCGTGGTTTGCAATTTTTTGTTCCTTCCCGTGCTTGGTTTTGTAAATTATGTAAAGTTTGGATGGGTGATTTACATTGTGCATCTTTACATTTAAAATCTCGTAAACATTCTGGCAAATACGATGAATTTTTCCAAAAAAATTTAACTTATGAAGTTGAATGGATGGCTGAACGTCAGAAGGCTTTAGATAATTTAAACAGGCTTATATCACCTAATACCAGAAAGATAAGTCAAGCAGAAAATGTTTTTGATAATATTCCGTTGAAACTGGGCAGTTTAAAAAACTCAGAAGATAAACAAACTAAAAGTAAGAAAAGTGAATCTAAAAAATCTAAGAGCAAGAAGAAAAGATCCAAAAAACATAAAAAAGGCTCTTCGTCTTCAACTTCAAATAGCTCATCATCTGAAAGTGAAGCTGGTCCTATTGCAGAAGATCGGGCTGCCTCAATTCGAGTTGCAATGAGAAATATTAAAAATCAGCAAGAAGATATTAAAGATGATTTAACTAGCAAAGGTGGTTATAATCCAATGGACGCTGATGAAACTGAAAGGAAAAAGGATGATCTTATTATGACACAATGGAATACGCCTCAACCAATCATAAGCGAAAGTGAGAAAAAACTTTTAGAACAATTAAAAGGGAAACTTAAAAATAAACCTCATGATGAACCTTCTAAAAAAGAAAATGATTCAAAGAAGTTCAATAGAGATCATATAAGGAGGAGGAGTCCAATAGCAAAAGAGAGGAGTCCTGCCACCAGAAGCAGACAAAATCGAAGTAGAAGTCGGGATCGATATCGCATTCGGGGTGATAGAAGGAGTAGAAGCATTAACCGATATAACAGAAGAAGTCGAAGTCGTGATAGAGACAGACGAAGTCGTAGCCGCGATCGTGATAGACGTAGTCGCAGTCGCAGAAGAAATGGTAGTCGAGGGCGTTCTCCGTATCATTGGAGAGGTGCCAGGAGAAGTATTAGTCGAGAGAGAAGACGATGGAGCGCTTCAAAATCAAAATCTAGATCAAAATCCCGTTCTTCGTCGGCTAGTAGAAGATCTTCACGAATTGAAAAACCATCAGTTCGTTATCCAGAGTTTAGACCCAGAATATCAGAAAATGAATCAAAGAGAAGGTCTGAAAGAGAAAGAAAATTAGCTGGAAATGTTGAAGAAGAAGGCAGTGAACGAAAAAAATCTCCTGCCACGTCATCTAGTTCATCAAATAAAAAGACTACAACAAGCACATCGTCTTATGCCGGTGGAAAGAAATTACCATTTATTGGCAGAATGCCTGTATTAGCAAAAAAACAACAAGAACAAAACAATGAGAATAGTAATGCAGATTTAGGTGATGAAAATATGAATCAAATGCGAGATCCGAAATCAATGGAAGATGGTTATTCACAATATGATAATGACGGTGTTTATTATGACGATTTGATGCCAGATCCAATGCAATATGCGTCATTAATGGGTGCTCCACCACCACCACCACCACCAATGCATGCAATTGATGACAAAGAAATTTTACCACCTGGTATTGATGAAATGGAAACTGATTTTGTACCGAAACCGATAAGTGAAGCTCCAGTGCCACGTAAAGGGCCGCTTCCAAAAGATTTTGAAGAAGCTCTAAATATTATATTTCCAGGTGAAAATAAAACTGATAACAAAATGGATTTACCATTAGAAACTAATACACAAATAAATATTGAAACACCACATGTAGATTTGCAAGATATACAAGAGAATGTTGTTATTGAAACTATTATCGAATCTATTAATGATAATAATCGTAGCGATGATAACCATGATAACACTATTGAAGAAACAATCGTCGATAATATAGAAATAGAATTGCAGCAAATAGAAATGCCTCCTCCAGTTGAAATTTCGGCGATAAATAATGAAAAAACAATGGAAACTCAAGAGGATACTTCAAAAAAAACTCAAAATATTTCAAATAATTCTAATTCTGTACCTCAAGTAGTTACAGAAGAAACTGTTATAAATGAATTATCAATTGCATTACCAGAAGAAAATATAATAACATCTGAAAACAAATCAATTGACGAAAAAAATTTGTATCTTTCACCTGAAATCAAAACATCGTCAAATGAAAAGGTGTTGTCTCCGATTCCAGTACCAAACCCAAAACAAAAAGAATGGCGACCCGAAGAACTTGATGATTTAGCTATGCTTGGTATAGACGCTGATGATTTAGCTGCACAATGTATTTAGTTTCCAAACTAAGAATATAAGAGACCGCTGTTATTAATTAAAAACAACAAAAATTAAACAAAATTATACTTGGAATGACTTTTAAAGTATCCATTACGATTATAAAATTAAAAGAAAAAGGAAATTTGAATTTACTTAAATAAAAATGTTTCATATTAAAAAATTAATTTCAGCTAATTATTTTTGATTCTCTTTCAAAATATTCTAAAGGATTTCATAGAGAAAAGTCGTAATATAATAAAAAATTTCCAAAAAAGTTTAAATTGATATTTATCAAATTCTTCTTAAAAATAATTTAATTTGTTTAAAAAAGTCGTAATATAATAAAAAATTTCCAAAAAAGTTTAAATTGATATTTATCAAATTCTTCTTAAAAATAATTTAATTTGTTTGGCTATACATACATACTAAAATCAGTTATAACAAATATTAAAAATATAAAATTTAGTATAATTATATATTGGTTACTTTTATTCTTATAATTGTATATGATTAATTTATTATAAGATGGTGACAATTTAATATCCGAAACACATAGATACATATATTAAATTCAATTTATAAATTTTAAAAATTTCTTAACTAATTTACAAGTTCTACAGAATAGTAAACAATGTGTAGGGTTTATTCATCTTTTTTGTTTTTTAAGATATGGATAAAAATAAAAATACAACAAAATTTTAAGATTGTTATATAAATATTAGAGTTTTATGTCAGAGTATTTGCAAGGGGTGAAGTTTCGATTATTAAACGAAATAAAGTTAAAATATTAAGAAATTAAAATTAGATTACCTATCAATATAAATTGCTAATCATTCATTTTAAAGAAGAACTGACATTTTCATTTGAACGTTAAACCGGGCATTACATTAAATAAAAATAAAACTGACACAAAATTGAAAGTTTTTATTTTGTTTACCATTCCGTTTTAACACTAAGGCGTTTTTTGATCAGCGTGGAGTTTTGAGTCAATTTAGCCTCGTCTGCCCGTGCATCCGTTCGTCCCTGCGATAACTCGAAAATCCATCAGGCTAGATTTATCAAATTTTCCCCAACTACTAAAAGTTATTTTGAAATTTTTGTTTTATAAATTTGGTTATATATCGGAAAGTGTAAAGGCAATTGAATTAAAATGTTGCGTAAGAGATCATAAGTTATAACAAGGTTGCTATTCCATTAAATTTTGATTGCAGTTGCGAACGTTTTTGCAAAAACTGCCCACACATCTTTGAAAATAATTTCAATTTATTTTGAAAATTACAAAGCCTACAGTATTTAAACTTAATATAAAGGAGCGTTAAAATAGAGGCACTATTTCAATAAAATTTCTAACTTTATTTTTATACTTTGAAATAAAGTATATAAGTTCTTATTTGGTAGTGGTTGTCTAAGTACTTCGAAAATTATAAAGCCTATAGTATTTAAACTCTATATAAAGGAGCGTTAAGGTTGAGCCACTATTTCAGCAAAAATTGGTAGTGATTGTATGAGTTTTTATAACTGGTGCCATACAAATTCAAAAATATTTATATATTAAACAACTTTGCGAACCAAGTGCAGCCAAATAATTTTAGCAATAATACTATAATGAAATATTTTAGTAATGAATATTTTTGTAAGAAAAAATAGTGAAATGTCAAATAACTTTTTAATACATTCGTACGGGTATCAATTCTAATTTAATGTGAATGCATAGTGATTATAAATTTGTTCAATCAAATTTTGTATCACATTCTATCTGTTATTTTTACTATTATCATTTATGAGTATGTTAAATGCATATTTAATATAATCTCTTCCATTCAAATTCTATTCTATATCATTTAAATTAAATGCACACTTTGTATAATCTCTTCAATTATATTTTATCTGGAGATCTACGATAGTACAGTTGTATTAGAATTATACTACATTCTTTCTGTTAGTTTTACTTTAGTAGAATCTTTAGCTTTGCTAAAGTAAAAATTAAAGCTTTTGTTTCTTTAGTAGTTTCTACTAAAGTGGCAACAGCTTTAACCCAACATAATTTTTTACTTTAAAATAACGTATTAAGTAAGAGTTTATCGGTAATTAATTAAAAAATTAATTGTTAATGAGTGATTTAATAACACAAAGTGACTTTTATATAACACTAAGTATAGTGCCTTGACCTCAAATTTATTTTTTTTAAACATTTTTTAATTTTATTTTCTTTTTTTAATTTTTAATCAATTAAGCTCCATTTAAAAAAATTTATATTTTGATTAAAATAATTTTAATATTAAAAAGTAGTGTCATGATAAAATAATAACATTTATTCAATTTAAAGTTAAGTAATATTTAAAATGTTTAATTGTAAGTATACGCATTAATTATGTAAATTAAAATGAAAAGAATTTTAACGGTGTATATAATTTATAAGATATAATTGTTGTATTTATGTCAGTAACAAATTAATTTGCATTAAGAAGATGTGGTATGTATAGAAGTTCAATCATGTATTAATTTGAAATAGATTTAAAATAAAACAATATCAAATGAATTTAGGTAATGAAATTTCCTAAAAGTATGGTACTTGCAACAAAATATTTTAAAAGCTTGAGATGCACTTGCTTTTATTTATTGAAAAACTGACAATAAAGTAAAGCGAAAATATTCATATACTTAATTAACTTTAAAAATTATTTTATAATACGAAGTTTTATTTCTACATATTATATATGTTATTATATATGTAGTAACATGTATAATTATTGTTATGCCCAAATTTCTAAAAAATTATGGATGCAAGAGAAGGCAGATACGGTAAGAAGTTGGAAAGAATTCAACAAAATCAAATTTTGTTATAAAAAATAAGTTGGGCCTAATATACTTAAAAGGATAACTTTACACTTCTTTAAATATAAATTTATAATATCATTTTGTACTTATTTTAATACATTTTTAAATCTTTTCTCAATTAAAATTGAATATAACAGTATCTGACTTTTTAGTTTTTAACGAATGCTGGTGCTGCGTTTTTTAAGACTTGAAACTATTATTTTGTAAATTGTTTTGCCGCAGGCATTACTAAAGACAAATATTTAAATCTTGCTCATTATCGTGTATGCATGCTAGTTATTCAAGCAAACAATCGAAAAAAAAACTAATAATTTGTGAAGGAATAAGTATATGTAATCTAGGAAAGTATTATATTAAATAATTTTTATACAAAATATATTCTTCAATATAAAATTAAAATATTTTATTTTTTTTATTTTTGCTACATTAAAACAGGATTTACACCATTGGTTTTGAGAAAAATTGCTAGGTAGTTTACGGAGCGCGTAAGCGTGATATTTAATTGTAAGGGGTAAGTTGAAAAAAATCATTTTATTAGATGGAACCCTAAAACCTTAAGCTATTTTTATAAAACATCGAACTGTTAAAGTGGAATAATGTGAACGGAACAGTGTAGCCTAAAAAAGTTTGTCCACCACAACAATTGGGAAATGCATTTATCATAAATTTTCCAAATGTACGTAAGTTTATATAATATAAATTTCAACTATTTTACTTTGTGTTATTTAAAATAAAAGTCAATTAAATCAGTTAGCACATTAGAAAAAAATATTGATACCCCATAAATAGAAGATGTTGTTATAATTAAAGAAATTAACTTATTTCAAAATGACGGAGTTGAAAATTCAAGACAGAAGCTCGTCACAAATGCAACTTTCAACACAAAACAATTAAAAAAGCATGTGAACTCCTGAAAAGCGTCTGAGCTCCCGAAAATAATGCGAAATCAATTTCACAAAAGAAGAAAAGTATGTATTTATTAAAATCGGTATTTTTTTTATGAAATTGATCATATTTTTATGTTTAAAGTAATACATTTATCATGTATTTTAATAAAATTAAGAAAAATTTGATTAAAATTACTAATTTATTTATTACTTGAAATTTGAACTTGAGTGTAAAAAATGCATATTTTACTTTGCTCCCACATGAAAAATAAAAAATTTTTTCGTGTCATAAAAATTGATTATACAAAAATGTAATTGTTCTTAATGGGTTAAAATAATTAAATAATTTTATGATTCCTATTTCGAACATGCATATTCCACATATGTATGCATATTCGCATCAGGAATTTAAAACACAAGTAGCTAAATACATTTCTTAATGGTTCTTGATTGTGTTTTCTTGTTTGTGAGAAACTATTGAAAAGTCAAAGCAGGATATTTTTAAAAGCAATGCTTTCAGTTGTTTAGGAAATTTGGCTAAAATTCAATTACCCTTAAATAATGTTTTAAAATTTTCGCTTTTTAATTAAAAATAAAAGTCAATCAATGCTCAGCAATAAGATTTCAAATATTATGTAGCTTGGGTATTAAATTCTTAATTGGGTCTAAAAATTGTATTATTACATTAATAATATGATTATCTAAGGAGTAATGAAATAGATTCTGCTAAATCTTATCTGCTGAAAATGTCTTTTATATTTTTTAGCACGAAATAGAGAATGATTTGAGCTGGGAAACATAAAAGAAGAAGGCGAAAATCTTTTTAATTTATTAAATTTATAAGTTCTTGGTGGAAAGCATAGAATTTTGAATCTTGTGGAAATTATTTTAAGAAGTTTCGATTGAATTTGGCTTTTGAAATTTTCAATAAAATGCTTGTCTATATGCATTAGCAATACATAAATATGTTTGTATGTATATTCTCATTTAAAATTACTTTAGTCTAAGATCAATTCGAAAGTTTTTTTATATTAAGGCAACTTAAATTTTACTGATTTAATAAATTTCTTTTTTAAATTTTATAAATTAGTATAAGTATTTAAGGGAAAATTTTAAAACAAAATTTAATGAATTTAATATTTTTCTTTTTTTTCTTGTTGTCATTTTGCAGGGCGATGAAAAATTATTTTTTAGTATTTTGATTGAAAGTTTTGAATTCGTACATCAGAACTCCTTATGAGATAACACCTATAGACCTAGTTCAACTAATTTGTGAATTCAAGAATAATTCTAAAAATAAATTTCATAAATACAAAGAAGAAGGCATCAACAGAAAATCATAAATAATATAAAAAATGAGCTGGTTTTTTTGAAAGTGGTATAAGTCCACTTTGTAAAAAGACTTTGTTAATGGTGATTTTGATGAGCTATAGACACCTTATCTCCACAGTAACAAACACAATTTCAATTGAGTTCTGCTTAAACATAAAACAAACAAAATATGTTATTATGGTCAAAATTTTTAAATTGATTCAAATGCAAAACCCTTAATATCTCAATATATGAAAAAATGGATTTATAAAACTTTCAAAAAAACCATTTTAAATATAGTTAAAAAAATTAAATGAAATTGGAAAAATATCTTAATGTTAAAGATAACGAAAGATTTTGTATAGTGTAGTTTTTATTTTTATATTTTTAAATAAAAAACTTTGGGTTGTTAGAATACAGCTTATATACTTATTTAATTTTATTTGAACGATAATTTTAAAGTCACTATTATTTTAGTTTTGCAGTCGTGGGACAAATGACATTTTTGTGGGAAGTGACCGTAAACTAAATAAAACTTATCGGAAGTGACCGTTAACCACTAATGAGGCCACAAAAAATACGATGACAGAAATTCTTTTCAACTTGGTTGGTTGGTTTACAGCCACTTCTCACAAAAATACCATTCGGGCTATTTAATTTTCATAAGCTGTGTAGTAATTAAGCGGAAAGTGAAAAAAATACTATTCAGCTAATGAGAATTAAATAGGATAAAATTCTCATTGGCTGAATAGTGAGTTTTCATAAGAATGACAATTAAATATGCGGAATGGTATTTTTGTGGGAAGTGACCGTGGACTTTATAAACGGAATAGTATTTTTGTGGGAAGTGACCGTGCAGGAAGCTTACGAACTCCACAGTAATTTCCCATAAAAATACGGGTTAGGGTTATTTCCCACAAAAATAACATTCAGCTTATAATAATTGAATGGGATGAATTGTATTTTTGTGGGAAGTGACCGTAAACTACCGTAGACCTTATAAGTTGAATAGTATTTTTTGGGAATTGACCATGAACCTCATAAGCTGAACGTTCATAGTCGGTTTACGGCTACTTTCCACAAAAATACCATTTATTCAATTGGTTTACAGTCACTCCCCACAAAAATACTATTTATCCTTTTTAACTCTCATAAGCTGAATGGTATTTTTGTGGTAAGTGATCGTAAAACAAGCATGATGTCCACGGTCACTACAAAAATACCATTCAGTCTATTTAATTCTCATAAGGTGAATAGTACTTTTGCGGGAAGTGATCGTGAGTGTAAAACACTGTAAGCTGTTTTTGAATTTTTTTGTCAGAATTCCACTTTTCATTTAAACTTAGTTTTTTTTTAGTGAAAATATTCAACAAGAGGTGGCGCTTGTATTTTATATATATATATTTTATAAATTATATTTTGACATTTAAAGTGAAAGAATTTTCAAAAAAACTGTACATAGTGCAGTGTTGTTGCAAAAAAAATTTTTGTGTTTATTTAATTTATATTAAAAAAATTCATTATAATCAAACAATAAATGAATCGTATAAAATAAAATATAAATATAATGAAAAACAAAATGAAAATTGTAACAATGTAAAGTGAATAGAAATTAAATGCAAAAACGTTGAAGTAAAGTAAAAACGCTTTCTCTCGGATTGCAACAACGAGAAAAAAAAAACGGGAATAGACGGGCGTTGATCTCATTTTTCATAAAATAAAAGGTTTAATATTTTATTAAAATTTTCAAAAAAAAAAATTTCTTAGAAAAAAATATTTAATATTACGATTTTTAATTTAAAAGCATTTTCATATAAATTTAGAAAAAAATTCGTAGAAAAGAAAATATTCATTGATTTTTCCTTATATTCATATTCTTTTCTGTTCATTCTTTTCTTGTTCATTTTCTTTTTCAAACAAAAATAATATACATACCTACACAAGTGCCATAAAGTAAATATCACTATGTGCGTTTGCAAGTATTTTGTATGTTTACATATTAAAGTTACCAGGTATGTCAAACCAAAATTTGAGAGTTTCAATAAATAGCTATTGTCAGGTATGTAAGAAATTTGGAATTGATTTAGAAAAGCCAAAATCCATGTAATTTGTTTAGAAAAAATTCATAGTTATTTAAATTGTGTATTATATTTTGATTTAAAAACAAATAAGAAAATTAGGTTAAAGATGTTTAAAAACTCTACATATAATTTGTACATGAAACTTTAACAGTTTTCCAGTTCTAACCTTAAGAACTGCAGTTTCAAAATAGCTACTAGATACTTTACTAGATTTTTAATAGCTACGTCAAAGAGAGTGAGTTTTTTCATATGTATCTATCTTTTAAAGCTTTGTTTTCGAAATTAATATTTTGCTTTTTAATCTGGTAACTTTATGCAAATAACATAGGTATGTATGCATAAAATGTGTAGGTAAAAACCGTTAAAAAATAAAAAAATCGCAAGATATGTCTGCCTGCATCTACCTGTATATTGATAAATTCTTTTTATATACGTATGAATGTAGGTATACCTACCCACATACCTAGTTATCATTCAAGTTTTTTGTCATATACATACACTCAATAATAAATATTCATGCATTATAGTTAGACAATTAACTACATAATGGATGTATATAAAATACATAATAAGGTATATATAAGTAAATATGAAACTTAATGTATCTATATTATGTTTATAATAATTTGTACAGATGTTATGTGTTTTTTTCGGATGATGAATAAGATGCCTGCTCCTTTATAAAAAAATAATGTAAATGGTTTTTTATATTTCAATAAGTATGTAATTTCATAGTTATTTTCTTTTGGAAAATTGAACGCAAACCTAAGTATTCAGAAAGCTCATATCTATTTCGTACCATAAAATTTACATTAGTAAAACTAATTTTACATAATATGCTTTGAGGTATATCCATTTATGTACATATGTGCAATTTACTAAAATATGTATGTCAATGCATTTCTTACGTTTTGTTTTACTAGTTTAAAACCATTCCAGTGTCTTCCTTGTCTTTTAGTTTTCTTTTCTTCTAAAATTTTTAAAAGTCAAATAGTAAATACTATTTTATTTTATACTAGTTTTGTTTTACTATTTTAAAACCATTCCAGTGTCTTCCTTGTCTTTTAGTTTTCTTTTCTTCTAAAATTTTTAAAAATCAAATATATATCATTTTATAATGTAAGTGTGTTGTGTAAAATAAATTTAAATTTCAAATAATAAGGAAAGAAAGTTTAATATATAAGAAAGTGTTTAACAATTTGAACGAATTGAAATACCTTTCTATATTACATATTTATTTACATACATATGTTCATGATTATATTTCATACATAATATGATTTGTAAATATATATATATATATATGTATATGTATGTAAATGTTTGTTTTCATTTTTTTCATATACAGAAGTGAACATTTTCCTCACACAAATAATAGTCAAATTGAAAATAATTGTTTATACACAAAATGATCAATATCATAAAAGGAAAAAACAATTTATTTATATATAATTAAACAGCGAAAATAATCTTAATTTAAGAAATCTAGAATTTCAAAAATGCTTATGTATAAATATATGTATGTATAGGAATTCCTAAATTAAAAGAGAAAGAAAAGAAATAGAAATAACTTATTGTTGGCATATGTGTATGCGTGTATATACCAAAAATCTCGTCTTTTATTCAAATTTTTTCTCAAACACAATTAATCTATTGTGTCACTTTTAAATAAAATTAAGCTCAATTTAATAAAATTGATATTTTAATTACAATTATTCCGATGGATTAATATATAACACAAAATGATTTGCATCTTTATGTAATGTTATCGTTTCAAAGTAATTTAAATAAACAAAAAATATCGTAAAACTCAATATGTAATATGTACATACATATGTATGTATGTAAGTTTGATGTAAGTTCAATGTCTAAAAATTACGATTAAAATATTATTGTTAGCTGAAACATGAAAATTGGCTAAAAAAATATGTATGCTCGTTTATGCTTAAATTTATATTCGTTTGAAATGTTTGAATTTGATACATGTTATGCATAATATATGTAGCTATTGAAATTCATTTTGTACGACTGACTCTGCCAGGTTTGAATCGGCTATAAAATTATTATTAAAAGATGAAAGAATTTTTGTCTACTTATAGATAGACTTGTCGTTTGCTTTTGTCCTTTATTTACTTATATACTTAATTTTGTTTAATTGGATTAGTTTCATAAATTTCGATTAGAACATTTCAAATACCAAAGTGATCGTAATTCAATTTTCAAATTTAGCTACATATGCTTCCAAAAGTTTGCTAACACAATGTAACTTTGCACAACTGTAAATAATTCTCCTGAATATAAAAATAAAATTCACTTGTGTTTAACTTACTTAATTACAAATAATAAAAATAATTTTGATATTTCCTTATTTCTGCATCATTTCCCGAAGTACCTAGTATCTACACATTAAGAAAAAAGGTTCCGCACAAAGTCGTATTTAATGTATATAGCAATAGCAATATTATTAATTGAACTATAAAACATTTTTGACACAGAATAAATTAAACTAAAACACAAAAACTTTTCAAATTTACGTATCGAAAATCAAATGATTTATTAAAAAACCGTAATAGAGAATCACAAATAAAAATTTTGAAACAAAAAAATAAACAGTCGGTTTAAAAAACACTCAACAATGCAGCTGTATAAACGAAAAAAACTAAACAATATAAAAACAGCAAAAATATAATACATATAAAGAAAAAATAATGTAATAATACAATACGGAAGGTAAGGGGCGTGCTTATAACACAATTCCAATTAAATTTATATTGTATACTATGTCTACTTTAGCCTTTATTGTTATCGTTTATAATAACTTAATAAAAATATTAGAAATTTAGAAAGAAATTTTAATTAATACACGAAATAGGTGCAGAATAGAAAATTTATTGAATAGCAACTATGTTGCAATTATTTTAGTGTTAATTTAAATTTTCTTTGAAATGCATAAGAGTAGATAAGTTAAATTCATATTTTGATTGTAAAAAGTGATTAACTTTAAATACATACATATGTGTATTCATATTAAAAAAATTAGGTTATATTATTAAATTTATCAATGTAAAAATAAATGTGTGCATTAGAATAAAAAATTTTTTTCTTTTCGTAATTAAGGAATTCATTGAAATAAATACATAAATAATTTGATATATTTTTAATGAGCAATAATTTGACTAAAACAAAAATTGACAAAAAATTTTGTTTTTATTGAAAATAAAAAATTTAAAAGTATAGAGTACAATTTTGAAATAATCATGTTATATGAAACTACAAATTATTTTAGTTCTTAATTTATAATTTAGTTCTTCATTTATAATTTAGTACTAACTTAATTATATAACATTAAGTTAATAATTATTTTTATAAATGTAGTTAATTTGTATCGAAAATTTTTTAACTAAATAATTAGATCAATGAATTTACCGAACACGTTTTAGTAATATCAATTTTTTGCATTTAATATTTTAATACCGCGCTTTAATTTTAACTTGAATTTTAAGAAGTTTTTAATTTTTTTTAATAAGTTAATGTTTAAGTAGTTTTTAATTTTTTTTTACATTCAAGCACTTTAAATTCAAAATAAAAAATTTATAATAATTAAAAAAGATTTCTTATAAATTCTTAGAATGCTCAATAATTCTCACGTATTAAAACTATAATATTAACAGGTCGTTGGGGATTTACATTCTCATTGAAAATTTTTTACATTTAATATTTTAATACCGCGCTTTAATTTTAACTTGAATTTTAAGAAGTTTTTAATTTTTTTTAATAAGTTAATGTTTAAGTAGTTTTTAATTTTTTTTTACATTCAAGCACTTTAAATTCAAAATAAAAAATTTATAATAATTAAAAAAGATTTCTTATAAATTCTTAGAATGCTCAATAATTCTCATATTAAAACTATAATAACAGGTCGTTGGGGATTTACATTCTTATTGAAAATTTTTTTTGAAAATACAATTATATACGACTTTTTATGTATTTAATTTCTTATTATTTATATATAATTCTTATTATTATAAATCAATACTATATTATTCCAAGGATTTTGAATTGTTCGTTAAAAGAATAATAATGAACAACGGTGAATTATTTTTTATTATTTTATCTTATCGCAGAATGAAGTTCTTTTTTAATTTTTATCGTAATTGTAAATTTTTATCAACACATAAAATTCTTATTAAAAATTTTCTTTGATTTTTTTAACTAGTACCTATAACTAATATTTATTTTTATTTCTTATAGAGTATTCAAATACCAAGATTCATTTGTTATCATCATTTGAAACCATTAGAAGGCAAATTTGAAGAATTGAAATATAAAATAAATTACAAAAACTTTTGAAAAAAAAGAAGAAAAGATCAAAATGTCTGGTGGAAAAGATCGAAAATCGCGATCTAATAAAACTCAAGGTTGGGAAGAGGCTGGTGGAGAATTTTATCAAGAAAGTTATCCAGGGGATTTGGAAAATTTACAACGGGATCCTGCTGCATTAGCTACATTACTGCCATCAAAACAAAATAGAGCCGGTAAGTTAGATATTCGGCATAAGAATAGTACATATATTCTACGAGCTTGTTCAATAAGAATTTCGGCCGTTTAAGTGCTGGAATATCATTGTTAATAATCATATTTTTTACAGTAATATTTTCTTTAAGTTATTGAAAAAACATATGAAAAACATACACAAAATGATTTGCATCTCTATGTAATGTTATCGTTTAAAGAGTAATTTAAATAAACAAAAAATATCGTAACATTTAATATGTAATATGTACATATGTATATATGTATGTAAGTTTGATGTAAGTTCAATGAGCCTTATTCTAGTTGTCGCGTCACTTACGTGACATTTGTCGTTGTCGCTGTCACGTCACTTGAAATGTGGTATTCTAGTTGTCGAGTGACGTGACTGCGAGAAATAAACGAAAATGAAACGTTTCAAGTGAAATTGATACATTTTAAAAAGAAATTTTGGCGAGTAAAGTTCAAACTAAAAAAAAAAATTCGGTGTATATATTTATATTTTTAATCCGAGGGAAATAAAAAATGTCGTCATTTGCATTATGGTTTATGGATTCATCAGATTCCGAGAGTAATGAAATTGAAAAAAAAACAACAATTAAGGATCAAAAGATTTAAGATTAGGGACAACTCTATTGGATTTGCCAAATGGAGTGTTATTTACATTTACATTTACATTATAACCGGATGGGTTATCATAGCTTAAACGTTATGTTGATATGTATAACATTGCTTGTTAAATATTTGTAAATATTTTAATATAATGTGACTTAAAGGTTTGAAAATAAAAATTAAATTATATATTATATGGTTTAATTTATGTATTAAATTACAAAATTTATTATTTTTTATATTTTTATTATATTTTTATTAAATTGTTTTGTTTAAACTTACATTTTTGGTGTATCCATCTCGCTTGTCACTTGTTAAATACATTTCGACAAAAAACGTCGTTTTACTACGACATTTGTCGCTCTACAACGACAACTGGAATATACCTGAAACACATTTTCCCGCTATTCCACGACACGTGTCACTGTAATCGCCATTTAGAATATCAAATTCAAGTCGTGACGACAATTGTCGCTCTACTTCGACAACTAGAATAAGGCTCAATGTCTAAAAATTATGATTAAAATATTATTGTTAGCTGAAACATGAAAAATGGTATTTGGAATTGGTATGAAAATTGGATTTTACAGTACTCAATATTTTGATATTGAAATGATAAATATTTAAAATTTAACACTTTATGGACCGGTTGTGGTTGAGCTGCCACTCAGTAAGTACCGGCTAAGTCGCGCCCAGTACCGGTTAAATTTTCACTATGCATTGTGTTGTGCTTATTCCTTTTGTTTTAAAGTAATGAAATTTTATTGATGTTATTTAGAGTGTGGTATCTCTCGTAACAGTCTCCCTTATGTAAGGGAATATTACAAAATTTACATACGAAACAAAAGCCGATTAATAGGTTACCGGCCGATGAGCGTAAGGAATCGAAAAGCTGATAAATAGGCTACCGGTCGATAAAGTGTTAAGTTATTGAAAAAACATATGAAAATTTATATATAATTTGTCCATATATTTACAAAATTTATGTACATATATATATGAAAACCGGAAATGCAAAGAGAGCTCCAAAAAGTTTATCTAATAATTTAAAAATATTAATTTATAATATATTTTACTTAAAAATTTAGTTTATCTAATAATTTAAAAAATTACATTAAACAACTAAAAATTACAGCTTTATTTTTCAATAAAATATATGATTTTAAATGCTTAATGTATTTAATGAAGCGAAATACGTTTAAATTTTTTTTCGGAAATCATTGTCATTTTAAATATTATCAGTGTTGAAAGATTACATTTCTATAAATAGTAATGTTAAACGTAAATAGTGCGCATACCTATAAGTTTCTGCACTTTTGATATTGCTTTAAACAATATTTTGAAAAACTTGGATTTTAAGCAAAACATTTAATAATTCATTTTATAAACTTGAACTTACAAGATTTCACTCTGCTGAAAGTGATTGGTCTGGAGAGAAAAAATTGATTTTATTCTTTATTTTTATTTACAAAAAAAAAATTAAAAAAAATTATGTTTGCATATAAAAGAAAATTGATGTTTGCACATAAATAGTTTAAAATTTTTTGTAAGATAACTTTAAAAGAATAATATGAGCACATTATTAGCGTTAGTTTTTCTAACACGCAACTTTAACCTTCCTAAATTTAGCTAGTTAATAATCATGTCCTTTCCCTTCTTATAAATGGTGTAATTTGTTTGTCATTAAATTGATAATTGCTTAATTGTAACTACATATATTATGACATTTTTTATGCCTTTTAAACTTACTTAATTTGATAGATGCCAACACAAATTTTTTTTATTATAACATATATTATAAAGTACATTCACGAAAGCTATATAAATTAATCATAAAAAGTAAGATCACGAATTAGGTAACGAAAATTTAAAACTTTTTCAATTATAGAACAAAAAGTGTAAAAATAAAATAAAATAAAGAGTATTTTAGACCAAAGAAAGCTCTAATCGTTCATTTACTTCAGATTACATATGCTCATATATATACCGAAAAAAGAATAGTAAATAAAGTTGGGTCAAACCAATGGTTTGTATTGTAGCACTTTTCCCTTCAACAAGTGAAAATTCTGCTTTTAAATACAGTCTATGTGTACCTACCACACTATTAAAATTATTTTCATTCATACATAAAACTATTTCTAGGATTGCCTATATTTAGGATGACGCATATATGCAGTCTTTGAAATAAAGCAAAAATTAATATAAAATGGGGTTAACATTATGCTCGATTTTAAGGGTTAATTGTGTGAGTTAAGAAAAATAATTATATTTTTTAATTTCATGGAATTTACCGTTAGCTTTTTGCGTTTATTAAAATTTGAAAAAACTTGCGGTTTCGGAAATATAAGGTGTCAAAAATTCAAATTTTATGAATTTCAAGAGGCGATAACTTGAGAGGGGGTGGAGATGGAAAAAAATTTTCTTCTAACGAAATGAAGTATTTGTTAATGTCTAAAAGCCCCTGAAATTTCAAAGCTCTATATTATGGGGTCTAGAAGAAAAACGAGATCAAAAATTTAGAAAAAAAGAACTTTAGATAACGGTAAATTTGAACGGCCATTTTGTTTTTCTAAAGTCTAACTATACTATACCGCGCTAGGGGAAGCAAGCCATTGCCTTTCTGCGTTTGCAAAATTTCAAAAATGCTTATGGTTTCATTGCCACAAATAGTTAAAAAAGGCCATTTTTAGGGTTTTGGAGGGGTATAACTTCTAGAGGGGGGGAGATAGGTAAAAATTTTGTTCTACGGAAATAAGTTTCTAATGAAGATCTATGTACGTATGAAATCTCAGCTTTCTATCTTCAAGGGTGTAAAAGTTTTGTAAACAAAAAAAGTGTCCACGGACGGACGGACGGACGGACGGACGGATGGACGGACGGACGGACGGACGGACGGACGGACGGACAGAGTGAAACTAATAAGCACTTTTTTCAAAAAATTTTTTGGAAAAGTGCTAAAAACGAGAAAAAAAAGAGTTGACCTTGTCAACTCTGTGATACCCGTACGAATTTGTTATCCTATGTGCGAATAAATTTGCCATAACTGACTATGGGACAGACTATGACTTTAAGTTGCCGTATTACCATATTAAATTATGCAAAATTTCACTACTGTGTTTTTCAAAATACTGTGTGTGCCAAACTACTATTGAAGTTGTATGGCAGTTACCAGAAAGAGCCAAGCAATTTTAACGTATTTTATTAAGCGTATCGGCCCGACTAATATATTTTCTTGTGTGAAATTTCAATAACGCAGCTTCTATAGTTTCAGAGATATAGCCAAATAAATTTTGAAGTTGTATGGCAGCTACCCGAACCGGTACCCCGATCATGTCCAATTTAAATAGAATTCTGGCACTACAATAAATCATTTGTGAAAATTTGCTAAAGTTAAAGTTTGTTTATCAAACAAATTGGCCCTACTAATATATTCGCTTGTGTGAAATTTCAATACCATAGCGTTTATAGTTTCTGAGACATAGCAAAATAACTTTTGAAGTTGTATGGCAGGTACCAGAGGGAGCCAAGTAATATCAACGACTTTTATGAGACACATTGGCCTACTAATATATTCGTTTGTGTGAAATTTCAATACCACAACTTTTATATTTTCTGAGATATAGCCAAATAAATTTTGAAGTTGTATGGCAGCTACCCAAACCGGTACCCCGATCATGTACAATTTAAATAGGATTCTGGCACTACAATAAATCATTTGTGAAAATTTGCTAAAGTTAGCTCAATTAGTTTTTGAGTTATCATTGGGACGGACGGACGGACGGACAGAAAAAGCTAAATCAACTCAGAATTTGACGCTGATCAAAAACATACACTTGAGTCTATATCTAAGACCGTTATTTCTTAGCGTTACAAACGGTAAGGCAAATTTAGTATACCCTTCGAACATACGTTCGTACGGGTATAATGAAAAACATAAGCAAAGCAGAAAAAAATCAATTACACTTTTCAAATTATTGCTTTAAATAAACCTGTCGTGAATACTAATAGGAATAATATTTTTTTGATTACAGCTTGATAATTTCAGCCGGAAATCCTAATTTTCTTCTTTCTTTTTTTGTGTAATTTATGACTAACTGTAATTTATGACCAACTATTAACTACTTATTTTTTTGATTTTGGTTAACAAATTGATTTCAATTTATTTTAACAAGCCAAATTATTATAATTTTCAAAAAATGGTGATTATGTATAATATAGTTAAATTTTCTTAATTGTTTGGAATGTAAACCATATAATAAAAAATATTTTGCTGTAATAAAAAATATAAACAGTATTGTAGCATTGACAAAAGGATATTCTCCTATAAAGATTTTGCAATTATACGGTTGGATAGGTAATTTAAAATATATAATTATATTTTCTCATAAAAAGCATTAAGCTTTTTATAAATTTTTGAAAAAACTTGTAGTTTCACTTTTGTTCAAATAAAATGAACAATATTTCTGCAATAAATTTAGATTTTTTGTATAAATGGGTGTGAAAATGTTATATATAATGGGTGTAAAGTTTTATATGTCATGAAAAAAAGAAATGAAGAAATAATTAAGATCACTTGTTTTTAAGTTTGTCCAAAATATAAATTAATAAAAAAAAAGAGAAAAAAAAATTTTAGAATAATAACTTATGAAATTTGGAAATTCTATGCCAGTGAAATTAAAAGAAAAATTCTAATAAAAAATATGTGGGTAAATTTTAATTTGGAACTTTTAATAATTTAGCAGTTTTAAATAAAATTGTTCTAATAAATTCCAATTTTTTTCTAAATTTCATTTGAATCTAATATGCATTCGAATATTTACATACATTAATTAAAATATTCACCTACATAATTTACCTAAATTTCAATTACACACACCACTAAATTTCAATTTAGAATCAAAAATTTAGTTTTACTTGCATACTTACATAAACGAAAACTAAAAAGCGTGAGCTTAAGTCGATTAAAATGTTTTTGTTTCGCAGCTCAGATTTCTTCATTATCTTTAATTTTATTAAAATAAGCTTTAATTTAAATTTATCTTTTTTTTGAAATTTTTTTTACTAAAAATGCTTATGTATAAAAAAATTGAACTGAAAATTAATCTTAATCTTATGTATTACACAAAAAACAAATTTTTATTTAAGCACAATTCACCATAAATTGCATACGATGGTAAACTAAAGAGTTTTTACAAAATAATTCCACAAAAAAAAAATGATCAAGAGCCAATAGCCCAGCAACTAGTGCTTTTTAAATATTTAGAAATTAAAACTTTATAATTGACTAATAAACAAATAAATAAATAAATAGCTTTTTAATCTTCTTTTACAATGACATTGAGTTTGCTTTTTAAATGAACATACGTATGTAGGTCATGATTTAGTAATAATGTTAAACTTTATCGAAATAATTTTTTTGAATTGGATTATATGTAGTTGATTTTATTCAATTTGGTAGTTACATATATACATACATACGTATGTATATGAAATTTAGAGAAAAATTCTCAAATTCAAAATAAATATTATTTGTATACAATGTTAGGAAAGACCGCGTTCATTATTAATATTTAAATTTAAAGCTACGTATTACTTAAGATATCTAATATATTTGATCTTAAAGACGGATTTGTTGTTAACTAAATTTTTAAATTTATCATGTGGTCAGCCTTTTAATTTCTTAATATTTCAAAACGTTGTTTTTTAATTTTCGTTTTTTTAGCGTTTTACTTACTCATTTTACATATGTGTTTCTACTTATTTTTTTTTATTACCACAAATAATAAAAATAAAAATCAAAGAAGTTAGGATTAGAGAATTCACTTTTAAAAAATTAAGTCTTGTCTTATTTCATTAAATCAACCAACTAGAAATAACCGACCAGGTACTTTTAATAAAGGAAAATTCCAAAGTTAATGTGATTACATTATTAAATCAAGATGACGAAAACCTTAGTTTAAAAGTAGTAAATCATAAAATGTTTATCATGAACCATTAGGTCGATAAATTGCAAATTTGGCAGCAAAAATTTTCTCCAATTTCAATACAATTTGATAGTCAACGTTTTTATAAAATAAAAAGAACATTTAATGAAGTACTTACCCCTAATAATAATATGGAAAAGCAAAAAAATCCGGTACCTGGCTTGCGTGACAGATATGTTAATTTTTTTTTATAAAATTTTTATGTATATTTTTATATAGATTTATTTAATGCATTTAAGTAACTGTAATGCGAATTTGAATTGGATTACGGAAATAGTTTTTTTCTCTACATACCTAACTATGTTTATATACATAGTATTAAATTGTATTTTGCAATCAAAAAGAAATTTCTACAGTAATACTTAATAGTAACGACTTATTAAAATTACCAGACGACGATTTTCATTGCTTGTAGATTTTGATATTCAATTTTATTTGATGTGTGGGATATTTATGAATACCTATTTATTTATAAAAACACGGAAGCCAATGTAATTGTTGGCTATTTAAGAACAACATTTTTTCTTCTTAAGACTTTATCAATTAGAAGATCAAAATAAAATGAGAAATATTATGTATTTAAAAGTATATAAAAAAAAGAATATAATAGTTATATTATTAAATTAATAATGCAGTTAATTATGACCGAGTATTAAAAACTATAAAATTTCGCCGCATAAGATTATGTATCTTCAGCAGTAGTAGTTTTAAGAGAAGTTCTTCTGTTTAAACATGTTGGATGTAAATTATGAAAAAAAAAAAATGAAAAGAAGAAAAGAAAAATAATTTGTTTTTGCCTAATATACATAGCTTTTATTTTATTCTAGAAATTAAAAGAGCAGGTATAATAAAATAGATAGTTAGTTAGTTTGATAAATTGAAACAGAACTGAAAACAAAAATTATTTTTTTGTCTTTATAAGTATTTTATAAATTTTATTGTTATTATAAGTATTAAAAACAATATTAGTTTTTCATGATATTTTAAGCTATTTGCAAGTATAAAATTTTGTCAAAAATTCCAAAAAAAAATTTTTACTCTTTTAGTTTCATTTTAAATAACAATAGTTAATAGTTAAAAGATGCTGAAATAACCATTAATGATCATAACAGATTTTTTTGTTGTTAATAACAGTAACCGAAAAAACAGAATTTTTTATTTTTTTTTAAATTACAAAATTATTTTACAATTATTTAGTAATATTGTCGTCATTTTTAAATATTTCTTCTGTTTAAAAAAATATTGTACTCAGTTAAAAAATTATTGATATTTTGAATTATTTAAACGTCAATAAGGTGGTTAAAAATTTCATTCAATTTTTCATATTAAATCACATTAAATTTCACACAATTGAGAATGAAGAACTTTTTGCTAACGTACAGAACATTAAAATACAAAATAAAAAAAATCGTACCACTACACGTTCACATAGTTTTTGGTACTATTTTATTATTGATATTATTAATTAACATTTTCATTCTAAATTTATACCTTTTGGCAGTTCAATTTTATAATGTCGTCAACGGGCTGCGTATTACATATGCTTACATGTACCTACTTATATGTACATTAAAATATTAATAATTTTAAAATGAATAGATATATTATATTAATAAACAGATAAAAAACAAACATCATACTTAAAAATCATGTAGTAAAAAAACGAATTCGAAAAAAGGGCATAAAAACCATTTGAAAATGAAAATTTATAGATATTAATTTATTATTATTAATTTAGTTTTTTTTAATATTTAATACAAAGAAGTGTTCAAGATTTTTTGTACTTTATTGTGATAATTGTTTATTTTGTCAACTGAAGGAATATTTTGATTTTTTTTCAAATACATACATACATACATAAAATATGCATTTGTAGCACTTACGAAAATTAAATATACGCACTAAAAAACGACACACACACAATGCTTCATATTATGCTTACGTACCCAAAATACATATGTATGTAAATTATTTAAAAAAATTAATATTCAATTGTTAATATGTTATAAAATTACCGCGATTCCATTATCTGCTAAACAAATAAATAAGAAAGTTGTTAAATTATTACAGCAAATGTAGTATTACGAGTATTAAGTTTTTCGATAATGTACATTAAAGTTAAACTAAAGAAATGCAAAAAAATGTTTAAATCTTTGGGAAATTTTGTGAAAAACACAAATTAACAAAATATACACATTGTTGAGAACATTATTGAAAAACAAATTGTTGAAAAAGAAAAATAAACAAAAAAGTCTTTTTTGTTTTTGTTGTAATTACAAAATAAAATGACATTATAATGTGATACTTACATACACACTCACATGTATTTTTATATAGTTTTTGAAATAATAAGTGGTTGTACATACTTAACATAAATATAGTGAAATATATTTAAAAGTTTGCTTGTTCTTTTAAATATTTATGATATTTTGTAAAATATTGGCGTAATCTGGCATAATTAAATGTTGTATGGTTAGCATGCCGCACTTTTATTTATGTATGGTTAGGTTTTTTGTTGTATGGTTAGCATTAGCACTTTTTACTTTATATACGCTTTACGAAAAATGAGTGTGAAAAATTTTTTAAACACAACATATGTAGTTACATACATATATTTGTTTATAGTATGTATAATAAATTTATAGAGTATATGAATTAAAACTCGAAATATTTAAATAAAAATAAAATAATTATAATTTAAAAAAAAATAAGTTTTAAAAGTTCCAGATCAGTCACGAAAGATTAGAAGTTAATTTAATGTTAAATTTAAAAGTAAATCAGTATTTTTTTCGTTTTGATTAACCAAAATAATTTTTTATAATGCATTTTAGCTCGTTACACAATCATATCTCGTTAATCTTTTACTGTAGACGGATGGGAACTTAAATATCTTCTTTTATTTTCCACTAAATGAAAAAAAAAATAATGACAATGATCTATTACTATCGTTTATATTGTATAAATTAAATTCAAAATCTGATGCATTTTACATACAAACATCAATTTTATAGTCTACTCTTCTATTTTATAACATGAAATTATTTTTGAATTTTATAATACATTATTGAATTTTATAACATAAAAAATTATAGATTATATATAAATACATAATAATATCTATGAATAATATATTTTATTTTAGCTACAACACGACGTGTTCGACCAAATCAACAAGATACAAAAAATACCCGCCGAAGACCTGGAACGGCAACTGGTAGACGTAGGAGTTCACAACCAGGTCAACCTCAATCAACCGCTAATCGTAGAAATTCCCAATACGCAGATGTTCAAGTTTCAATGCTACCAGATTTATCTCAGGATTTAACTGATGAGGAAAGAATATGGGAAGAAATAATGGAAATCAAAACAATGCCAGTTTCAATGGCCCAGAAAAGAGAAATGAAAGCACAACTGCAGGTTAGATAGATAACAAATAAAATTTTACAACTTTTTAATAAATTTAATAACAAATTTTCATTTTTTGTAGAACACGACCACATTACGTTTAAAAGGTTTAGATCAAATCAAATGGCAAAGACGTAAAGTATGGCAACAATTTGTAACAAAATGGTCCGAAATATTAAATAAAATGGAATTATGGCGTTATTCATTAAAACGTATTGAAGGAAATTTTGGTACTGGTGTCGTAGCATATTTTTTGTTTCTAAGATGGCTTATGTTTTTAAATTTAGTAATATTCATTTTGATATTTTCATTTATTGTGATACCACATACTGTATTACATGTACCAAAAGATAAACCATGTGATTCAGATAATGAAATGAATTCAACGCAATGTTGTTTTAAAGATTATATGAATCGGTCTATAGCATCATATACCGTATTGGATATTATACAGGGCACTGGTTTTATGGAAAGGACATTAATGTTTTATGGGATGTATACAAACAAGATATTTGGTTATCATCCATATGGTAATCCATATGATGACGATGATGATATTGATAGTAATTTAAATAATCAATCCTCTTTAGATAGAAAATTTGATCATATTACGGATATATCTATAAATAATTATAACTATAATAATCAAGTCAATGATATTAATAATATTAATAATAATAATAATAATAATAATAATAATAATAGCAATAATAATAACAATAATACTTATATTAATAATAATAATAATAATAATAATAATAATAATAATAATAATAATAACAATAATAATAATAATAGTAATAATAATAATAATAATAGAAATAAAAATAATAATGATAATAATAATAATAGTAACAATAATAATAATAATATTAATGGCAATAATAAAAATAATAATAGCAATAATAATAGTAATAATAATAAGAGTAACAATAATAATAATAATAATAATAATAATAATAATAATAATAATAATAATAATAATAATAATAATAATAATAATAATAATAATAATAATAATAATAATAAAAATAATAATAATAATAATAATAATAATAATAATAATAATAATAATAATAATAATAATAATAATAATAATAATAATAATAATAATAATAATAATAATAATAATAATAATAATAATAACAATAATAATAATAATGATAATTATAGTAATAATAATAATAATAATAACAATAATATTAATAATAATAATAATAAATCGAATGAACTCTATAAAGAGAAAGGTGAGGATGAATTAAATTCAGATGATGTATTATTGCAACAATTGACTGAAAATAATAACAATTCAAGTTCAACTATTAACAATAGTTTTAATTTAAGAAAAAAATTATTATTTAATGACTTGCATAATAAGAATGTAAATTCTAGTCAACAACCTCAACAAGAAGCATTACAACAACAACAGCAAAACACGGACACAAAATCACCTACAATGAGTGAATATGTTACGAATGAATTATATTATGATTTACCTTTAGCTTATGTAAGTGTAACTGCCGTTTACTTTTTGATATCTTTGGCTGCCATTGTTAAATCAGCTTCAAGAGAATTTAAAGACCGTTTGGTTGACGGCGAAGGGCAATTTTATCAATATTGTAATTTAATATTTGGGGGCTGGGACTTTTGCATACATAACGAAAAGTCTGCTGATATTAAACATAAAGCATTATATAATGAAATAAAAAGTTTATTATACTCAAAGCGAATGGAATATGAACGTCATAACCGTTCAAGGGATTACATGTGTAAATTAATACTGATAAGATTAATCGTGAATTTTATTGTGATTTTAATTTTAATTTCGTCAGCCTTTTTAATTTATTATTTATTTAATGTAAGTCTAGAATATTTAGATCCAACACTTAAACAAAATGAACCTTTAACTTTATTCCCAAAAATGAATTTATATGATGAAAACAACAATGAATTTTCAATACCACAAGCAAATGCATTACTAAGTGGTTTACATAATAAAAACAATTCAACATTATTTAATGTTCCATTTGAAGATAGTAGTTTACAAGCATCGGCCGTATCCGATCATACAAACGAACAATATCAAGAAGTTCATAAATTATCAGAAATTCAACAAAAACAACAATCGTCTTCTATATTAAGTTCATCAGAAGAACAATATAATATAATAAAAAACTACGGAAATAATTTCATTGACAAAAAATTATCAAGTGAGGATGATGATGAAGATGAAAATGATAGTCCATTTATTAGAAAATCCGACAGTGAATTATTATTTAAGAGAAATCAACCAGATTTAGTCAAACAGTTGGAAACATTATTTTATGAATTCCTTCCTTATATTGCTATAGTATGTTTAAATCTTCTAGTACCAATATTTTTTAATTATTTATGTGAATTTGAACAATATTCACCAATGTTTGTTATTAAAATAAGTTTATTACGCACTGTATTTTTACGTTTATCGTCATTAGCAGTTCTATTAAGTCGCTTTTATTTTTTGACTATACCTAAAACAGACGATCAATGTTATACAGAAAAGACTGGAACACCACAATGTTGGGAAACTTTCGTTGGACAACAATTTTATAAGCTTGTCATTACAGATTTTGTAACTCATATTTTAGTTACATTTTTTATTAACTTTCCGCGTTCGTTGATAGCAAAACATGTCAAAACAAAATTTGCTCGATTAGTTGGCGAACAAGAATTTGAATTAACGAAGCATGTTCTGGATGTTGTATATTCTCAAACATTGTGTTGGTTAGGTGCTTTTTATGCGCCGTTTTTACCAGCAATTGCAACAATTTTAACGTTCTTTATGTTTTACATCAAGAAATTTCAATGTTTAGTCAATTCAAAACCATCAATAATTTTGTATCGAGCTTCACGCTCTAATTCTCTTTTTATGTTCATATTGTTACTATCATTTGTCATTGCTATTGTTCCAGTAGTCTATGCAATAGCCGAAATAAAACCTTCAAAATCTTGTGGACCGTTTCGTGGCTTAAATTCAGTGTGGGATGCAGCAATAGATTCATTTATGAAAATGCCATCATTTTTTCAAAATTTTATATTTTTTTTGGGTACTGCCGGTTTTGCAATCCCTTGCTTTATTGTACTAACGTTATTTTTATATTATTATTATGCTGTATCCGATGCTAATAAACATATGGTGGAGGTATTAAAAAATCAATTAGTATTAGAAGGTCACGACAAACAATTTTTATTAAATCGATTAAGTTCATTTATCAAACAACAACAAGAATTTCAAAAAAAAATGAGGCAATATGATCCAAGAATGGTTGATTCACAAGTACCACAACATCAACAACAATCACAATCCCATAGAGAAAGTAGAGATCACAGAAGTAGTCGTGAGCGCAATAGACCTGATGGAATGTGTGATTAAATATTATGATATATAAAATGTGAAGATATTAATTTTATAAAGAAGGAACTAGATTAAATGAATTAAGTTGATTGTAAAATATTTAAAAAAGTGATAGTTATTTAAATTTTATTTATACTTCGGAATCATACCTTTACTAAATTTGGTATGCAAAAATATTGCAAAGTAGTGTGTTATAACAGTATTTCAACACAAAAAAATATTTGACTTTCATATTCGTTATTCACAAATTTAGTCTGTGATCTTCTTAATACAAAGAAAAAAATAGTTAAGACACATAGATTAATTATGAAAACAAGTTCACTCAAACTTTAAAAATCTACATAATTAATTCTGAATGTAGATTTTAAATGCACATGGTTGTAACACACTATTAAAGCAATCATTCGTTTATATTAATTAAGAAAGTATATTTATTTATATTCTCATTTTGTAAATAAAAATCGATCATACTTAGATTTTATATAGTTAATAAACAAATTTTAAACAAATATTAGTTAAATTATTTTTCAGAAAAATTATTTTTATTTCACATAAAATAATTGAAACAGTTTAGAAATTATGGAAAAACGTTACAGTTTTTAAGTAATTAAAAAATATTTGAAGATTTTTTATTACGAATTAATAAGAGTAATTTATCTAACTGAAAAAATTTTTTTTCTTTGATTTTTAAGAGCAGAATAAATTATAGTTTATATTCAGTTGTTTTTTCTGTGAAATTTTTATTCTACACAAAAAAAATCTATCCATAAATAAATTACACTAAATATAACTTAAAAGTATCATTTAAATAAAATAAAATAAATTAAAAAAAAAAAAACAAAAAGAATATTGCTTATAATAAAGCAGATAAAATTTTTGTGCATAATAAAGCAAAAAAAATAATTGAACTTTAAGCTGTAACATATTACTATCTATATTCTGAAACTTAATAGAGGAAGAAATAAAATTAAATTATTATTATATTGATTTTGTAAAATTAAATTAATGTAAAAAGAGAAAAAATTCACAAGATTTTATAATTTAAATTGAATAAAATTATGAATGTATTTATGTATATGTGATTGCTTCTATTTGAATATTGTACATAGTATACATATATAAGCTACATAAAAAAATATTTTAAAATTTATTGTTTAAAAATACAAAAAAAAAACATTATATTGCTAGTACACATATTATCTCATACTATATTTGCAAAATGGAACATTTAAGTATTTAAATCATTATTGTTTAAATTATAAAATCCTTAAAGCAACAAAAATATTTTTTTTATAATGGTGAAATATTAACTAAAATTTTGATGTTGTAAAAAAATCGTATTTATAATTTATCTATACAACTCATACGTTATTCTTTCATTAATGTTTGTATTTTGCATTTATTGCAAAACTTCGTTTTTACTTAAGAAAAAATGTATTACAAACAAGTATGTATCTATAAAAAAGGCATAAAAGCATTTTTTCATTTCTCTACTGAAAACAATATAAAATTTAACTGCCAAAACACAAACAAAAAAAGTAAAATAATTAAGTATGAATGTAGTGTTTCAAAAAATTACTGAAATATATAACAATTTTTTATATATGCATCTTTTTTTTTCTTTTTTGTGTTATTCCATTTATATTAAATCTATCTAGAGAAAAGAATAATCATGTAACTAGGTAAAATCAAAGAAAACTTTTTTAGAAATAACTTTTTATAACGAAGGTAACTTATTTCACTGAATTTAAGGTTACATGGACATATGTTCTGCAAAGGTCTTAGTTCTCCATGGTTTTTTGTTCGTCATCAAGACTTTTTAATATGGCCTTTTTTTGGGATAACTTTTGTGATAAACTCTTTTGATCCCTGAAATATTTTCTATTAAAGATATTGAATGAATTGAAAATGATAGATACATTTAAATTGAATCTAATTTACCCAGAATTATTTATAAAATTTTTAATAACTTCTGAAATTGCTAGAAAATCTTTAATCTTATTTTCCTGACTATTTGCAGATTTTTCAAATGCTTCATCTAGTCTCTCAAATTCAAATTTAAGGCAGGAAATTTTGTCTAATAAAACCTGTTTTTCTGCAACTAACTCCTCAAAAACCTAGGAAGCCCAATAAGTAAATTGAAGATTTTGCGTTTTTATGAAATTTAAATATTTTTTAAGATAAGAAGCACTTTAAACTAGATTACCTTTACTTTCGCAAACTTATTGTGTTGCAAAAAGACTGATGAATTTTCACACAAAGTTTCTTCGATATTTTTCATTGAGTATTTACTATTAATTTTTTCAATAGTTTTCATGAAAGAAATGATAAGCAGGTCAAGGGATTGAAGCTTTAAAAATAACTGTTCCGCTAAAATTTAAATTAATTTGTTATTACTCTTTCTAATATACATACAAAGTAAGGAAATGTACATACGTGTAGTTTCACATTCCTTTAAAAAATTAGTTTTCAATAAATTCGCATATTCATTTTTTTCGTCTTGGTATTGTTTTTCAATTAAATTTAGGTTTTCTTGTTTATCTTGAAGTATTTTTTGCTGTTAAAAGGAGAAAAAGTGTTAAATATTTTAAAATTAAATAGTTAAAGCTTAAACACCATATCTTTAAAAAGCTTTTCCAAACATTTTTTATGTTCCATATTTTTAGTTTTCGGATAAATTATATAGGGAGTTAAAAATTTCTCAAAAGTTTTATCTTGAAATCAAATTATAAAAATAGCAATAGGTTTCATATGTATGTACATCAATACTGTACTGTTTACAATCCGTTATTCATACAAAAAACTAAGTGATGATAATCATTCATATAAGTAACAAAAGAACTGTCAGATGACTTACAATTCACAATGGGTAAAAATAAATTAAAAGATTGCAGTAACTTCCCACAAAAATACCATGCAGTTAATAAGAATCAAGTAGTTGAATAGTTTTTCTAGTGATTGTCAATCGTCACTTCACACAAAAAATCCATTCAACTACTTGATTCTCGTAAGTAGAATTGCCTCTTTGTGGATAGTGTCTGTCAATCGTCAATCCAAAATCCGTATCAAATACGCTGAATGCTGTTTTTGTGGGAAGTGACCGTCAATCTTCTGAACGCAACTTTTCGAAATTGATTTGCAGGAAAAAATTCGTAACATATAGTTTATTGGGTTAATCATTTAGCTGTCAATTTTGTTCTATTTTATTAAATAAGAACTAAAAACAATTTTTTTGGAATAAAAATTTAATAATAAAAGCAATATACCCAAAAAAAAATTAATAAAGCATTTAAAGATTTTTTCATAGCTTAAGCATAAATTTTTTGTAAAAACTAAAACTATGGCTCTCAACGGTTGGTTGGATTTTTTTCAAAAAGGAAAGGTTTGTTTCTGAGTAGTACAATAATCCTAAAATATACATTTCGTTCTTAGACTTTTAGACCGAAAAAGCGATTTTCAAGCGGAACAATTCGGTATTCATTGCATAAGCAAGCACAGGCAAGCTTACAATCTGGCATAAATTTGAGACAAGTAGTCAAATTGCCAGCCGGGGAAAACTTAAATGATTGGTTGGCTGTGCATGGTATACTTTAATTTGTGTACGCAAATTATTTTTAAACTTATCCTAATTTTTTTAATTACAGTTGTTGATTTTTTCAATCGTATTAATTTGATTTATGGGACAATATCGGAGTTTTGTAATGAAACTACTTGCCCCACAATGTCTGGGGGGTCTCGTTATGAATATTTATGGGCGGATGGTGATAAGTAAGATTAATTAAATAAACTTTTTAGAGAAATATAATTATCTCAAATTATGTAGTTATAAAAAGCCGACAGCTCTACCGGCTCCTCGTTATATCGAATTATTGATGGACTGGATTGAATCACAAATTAATAATGAAAGTATTTTTCCTGTATCAACAGATGTTCCTTTTCCAAAATCTTTTGCACCTTTATGCAGAAAAATATTAACACGTCTCTTTAGAGTGTTCGTACATGTTTATATTCATCACTTTGATAGGATTGTCAGTATTGGAGCTGTAAGTTATTTCAAATGGTTTTTTTATACATATGTATCTACATATTTACCTATTTAGTCAAAAAATTTTTTTAAATATCCATGTCTTTACATATTTACTTATTTTGATTATACAAAATTAATGTCAAAAATTATATCATTTTAGGAAGCTCACGTAAATATGTGCTATAAACATTTTTACTACTTTGTTCAAGAATTTGAGCTGATATCCAGTAAAGAATTAGAGCCACTAGCTGTAATGACATCGAAACTATGTAAAGATTGTGACTAATTTTAAGATAAGAGATCGAATACTTACAAGGATTATTCCCTAGCATTTACGAACACCACTCTTTAATAGTTTTATTCCATAAGATTGTTTAGCGTTGTTTTAATTGATTTTATCTATTTTTGTGTATATACGTAGATATATAAGTACATATATTAAATAATATTTATTTGAATAGTTAAAATAAATAGGATTTTTAAAGTAAATTTCTTATAATTTTTTTCTGAAAATCCTGATAAAATATGTATACACACTTGACATAGTTCAGATTTATTTCCATAATTCTAAGTCAATTCAGGGTGTGCCTTTGTCATACGGAAGATAAATAATCAAAATAAATAGCTTTTTGTTTGATTGGAATGTATTTCTTATTGATTTTGGTTGTTGGAAAAATACATTTTCAAAGATTTGACCAGTGGAACTTGTTGTTACTTTATTAAAACTCATAAAAATTTTACAGCTTTAAATCTGTTTCAACCCTTTTTAAGTCTTTAATTCCATTATTAAGAACTTTCTGGAACTGAAACTGCAATGAAATAAAACAATTCGATTAAAATGTTTGGTGAAACGAATTTTTATTATTTACTCTTTATTTACAATTCTTTTTTACAGAATAAAGTAAATTTTTCTATTGAATAAAATACTAATAAACATTTCCTTAGTATAAAAGTAAAAGAACATATGTATAAATAAAAATTCAAACGTAATATTTAAGGGCACTTTATTACCCCTGCATCGCAATGAGATCCTAAATCAATTTTCAAGATTTACAAAATAAAATTTTATAGAAAATTTGAGAAAGATTATTCAGATTACACTTTCTCAACAAAAGCAACAAAGAAACATGAAAATTTTATATTAATGATTTCTTACATATTAAAATTTTCTTTTTTAACTAGAAATAATTAACATTAATGTTCTAAAAAGTTTATATTTCTATATTTTCATGATAATCCAGTCTATAACATAATTTTTATTAGTTTATGTGTCAATGAGCAGACATATACACAACGAATTCTTTTGTTACATATTTATAATTAAAATAAAACTAGGATAATTTGCCTTTGACATACATACATGTATACTCTTATCAATGACGAAACGATTGGCAATCGAAAGGAGCGCTTTCATTTTCCTAACCATGTGCAAAACAACATCAGCTTACGAATTATTTGAATACTTTCTTTCATTACTTTCAATATTTTAATTTAGCGCAACATTCGCTTAGATGGATTCGCTGTTGTTGTCCCCAATAATACTCATTTCTCAGTTTTCGATCGTGTCTTTATCGTTGGATTTAATGCTTTTTCCGGTTTCTTTGTTCGAGGTAATGTTGTGTAACTAGATGACATTATTTTTTCCTAAAATTAAACATGTTATTATAGGCAATTATTTTAAATTAAAAAGAAAAAATTACTTAAATCATAAAAAAAAAAATAAAACAGTGATCAAACTATGTATTTAAATTTCTATAATATGCAATGAATTAAATGTATGTATATACATATTTATTATTTTATTCGAAGTTTCGTAAACTTTTCTAAGCAAGAAATCATGTCAAATCCTTGTAAATCGTAATCTTTGTTATAGAATATTGTATATATATTAAATGTTGAAGTATAAGCACCAAAGAGCAGCATGAAAGGTTATTGAGTTACTCAAAAATCAATGAATGATAAGCTTATTTTGCAATGTATATAAAATATAGTGAATAAAAACAAAATTACAATGAAGCTCATAATAACCACTGTAATAATAATTAGTTATATACCCCATGCGAAGATTATCAACGATTTTTTATAAGAATTCGATTAAAAAAACGTTATTTTCAAATTTATAGAATTAATCTACAATAAAAATGCAAACATAAATATTGTTAATCTTGCCTTCTCAATAATCGCCAAGTTTTTGACATTTACTTGAAATCTAATTGCGAAATTATATTTGCGTTTCTTTTCCAAGAAAATCATCATCTGTTTTTGGTTTTGGTGATTCAGAGCGAAAAATAGATGGTAAGTAACTTCTAAAAATATTGCGTCTTGGTTTGTTTACTGGTTTCGGTGAAGGAGAACGAGAATTAGAAGTTGTTTTAGTTTGGGAACAATATTGGATTTGAGGAAATACAGCGGAAGAGGATGATATTGTAGGAGAAGAAGATCTTGATGAAATAGGAGTAACAGAATTTTGAGAAAGATTAGAAGTTAATAGTGTGCTAGAAGGACTGAAGTTGGAACTTAAGGTGGAAATCTTCTTTTTATCAGTAACAGATGCAGTTATTGGACTAGATGGTTCTTGTAAAACAAAAGGTTTAAAAATATCATGCGATGATTCAGTTTGAAATAAGTTTGAAGAAGAAATGTTGCTTGAAATTGAAGTTATTGAGGGTGGGTCAGGAGCTTTGCCTTTACTGTGATGTAATTTCGTATCTTCTGATAAAGTTAAAAAGTTATTTATTTCAATATTAGTATTCGGTTCTGGCCCATTATGGTTATCAGTTTTAGTTTTTTCGGAAACAAATGATAAATCTGGTGTCAATTCCGTTTCCTGAAATTCTTTCGTTCGTTCGTCATTCAATTTAAGAATATGTTCTTTCAATTTTGTAACACTGTCAACTGCTACTGATATATTTTCTTTTAAAGTAGACTTTGAATATTCACTTGCATCATTCGTTTTAGAACTTTCTTTGTTTGAAGTTATTTGGAATAATAATGTACCTTCAGAATTTGTTTTCAGAGTATCCTTTGTTAATTTATCAGTAACTTTTGGCTCATGTGGAACATTTTCATCATGATTTTCTCCTACTAAATTTCTTGTATTAATATTTTTTTCTTCAAGTAATTTGGAGTTGTTTGTTTTCATGTCAAAAACCGCAGTTTCATCAAATCTGTCTAAGCTTCTGTCTTCGTTACTGCCTACCGATATTGTATCTTTAAATTCATCATCTGATATTTGTTGTGCTTCAATTTTTGTTCCAAGCTTTAGAATCTCATCTCCAATTTGACCATTTTCAAGCCATTCACAAAACATTTCAAATTTAGATTGCATTTCTGGGTGCATTTGCGTAGATATAGTTAGAATTTGCCTATCGCTACTTTTATTATCTATAATATTGTTTTTATCTTCTTTCAATATTGTAGAAGACAAGTTTTCATTATTTAAGAAGGCTTGATCTCTAGGTTCTTTTAAAGTTGTTTTATTAAGTGATAATCCTAAATTAGTTTCCAAGCTATATGAGTTCTCTTTGGTGCAATTTTGTTGAGATATATTAGAAATTTGTGGTACATTTTCTATTAGAGATTGAGAACGAATAAAATCAAAATTAGGTACAAAATTTTCACGCAAAATATATTCATTTTCATCATATTCTGAGAAATTTTCATCCTACAATTTTTAAATTAAAACCAAATAAAAAAACAAAAATTAAAAAAAAAATAAACAAATAAAAAAAGACTAAAATTATATTTACCTCTGGTTTTTTTGCTTTAAATCTGAGCCCCTTTGAACTCGTCATCGAAGATGTACGACTTAGTCCACCTGATATTGGCTCAGCACTAGAATATCCAGAACTAATATCATCAGTCGATTTAATATTGTAACTGGAAAACGAAAACAAATATTTACCCACTAATACAAAATATTAATTAATATCTAAGTACTGTAGTGTATCTACAGGTCCTTTAGCTCCAACATCTATTTCAGAAAAATACATTCCTGTTGAATGTCTAGCACCAGATGAAGATGATCTACCTACTTGGGTACGTGGTCGTAAGCCACGATGTTGGGGTCTCGTTAATTCGTCAACCTTTTGAAAGAGTTTAAAGTTTATATTTTTACATCTTTTTTATAATAAATTGTTAAAATTGTTAACCTCGTCTTGTGTTCTATGGACGTCTGGCTCTGATAAGTCACTCAAACTATAACTCCTTCGTATAGTTTGGACTAAATTACCACCACCCTAGAATTAAGAATCGTACAATTTCCTTCAAAATTTATTTAATTTTATAAATATTAAATAAAATTTCCTTTTTTTTATGTTTTATAATGACGAATGAAGTTTGGAATGAGCAAATTAAACAATATAAATTTTTACTCAAAGAACATATAAATAAATAGTCATGCATTATGCGATTTTATTATATTATAATGAAATTTTTCTTTTATTTTATATTTGTAAGTTATCAAATTTATAGTTTAAAATTTTAACATTAAGATTTTTAGTATCATTTTTTTTTTTTAAAAACATTTAACATTTAATAATTTTTATTTTAATAATGTAAAATTATGTTTTTGATTCAATAGCTTATTTTAAAGACAAGAAATTAATAAATTTTATTAAAATAAATCAAAATATTTATGATATTTTGCTATACATATTTGTATTAATGTCTTTATTCTGTAAATATAGAAAAATAAAAAGTAGAAAATTATGTAAATATAAAATATTTAACAAAAACAGTAATTTTTGTGAACTATTTTGAAAAACTATAAAATTAAAAAATTATATACATAAATACGCAAGTTGTAAGTTCGTTTCATTTATTCAGATAATAAATTCAGATAATTAATTTGTTAATTTTAAAATAAATTAAATATCGTGCATACACATTCGAAGGGTATTAGAAATTTTACACTTTTATTTCGTTTGTAACGCTTAGAAATAGACGATTGACACACAGACACAAGTATATTATTTTAATTAGCGCAGAGTTTAGAATCGATTTAGCCATTAGTATCTGTCTGGTTGTCCCTCCCAGCGATAGCTCAAAAACTAATTTAGTAAAGTTCACCAAATTTTCGCAAATGATTTATTATAGTAAATGATAAAAGCATATTTAAAATCTATGTGATCGAGGGAGTTGGCAGGGTAGCTTCCATTTTAATTTTCAATGTTTTTCAACTGAAATTATGGAAGCTAGAGTATCATAATTAAAAATTTTTTCCATTAGAAGTATCTATTTGAATTTAAATTGGTAATTTTAAGCAAAATCGTATTCTATGAACTTTGTTTTCTCATTAACATTCAAGAAAGAAATTTTTACAAATTTTTCTTTATTAAATTTCAAATTTTAAATTTTTAATTGAAACTGTTGTTTAATAACACTGTATATGTACAATATGTAAAATAAGTGAACACAAAATATTTGTAATCAAATTTTTTGTTAACATAATTTTAACTCTTTTATTACCAAATTATTTGAAGAAAATTACTACAGATATGTATATAAACCTTAACAAACTATAAAAACTATCTTAACGTCTATAGCAAAATCAATAAAAAAAACTCTGATTTATTGAAAGGTTATTTTCAATCAAATTCATATATTAATTATAATTATTTCAATTATGACGAGATCATAAAAAAAGTTGCATACGATTGTACAGAATTTGATTCTCAGCAAACTAAAAGTAAGAAATTTTTTTTGTAACTAAACAAGCTATTAAGTAATCAATCGAACAAAAATATTATAATAATACATATTATCTAACTTTTATATTTTAATTATATAAGTGAAAAAAAATCTAATGATATTTTTATTTTATTTATAGCTTGATTGCGTATCTCTCTTTTTACTCACCGAGTGAAAAGAAAATGAGTGAATGTTATATATATCATGTACATCTAATGCAATTTTCATTTGAAAAAATGTTTTTCATTTTGCGTACATATCACTTTTTTTCTAAAAATATGCAACATTAATTCAACATCGAATTATTTTATACTTAAACACGGTAAGTTCAGTTGATATTTTAAGTTTATTTTAGCAAAAAATTGGAAATGCCAATTGTGAAAAAAAGTAATTTTATTGAAAAATGGCATGTGTATTTAACCAAAAACACGAGAATTCTAAATTAAAAAAGCCTAAAAAAGAGAGATACACAGTATATCTCTTTAGTTAGGCTATGTATTTAAATTCAAATATTTGTGGTATTCGCAACTAATTATGAAATAATCTGATTCGCTATGCCTAAAAAATGTGAAAAAGGGAAAGAATGTACATTTTTATTTTTTTAATCTTTTCATTAAGACATTACTTTTATGAATTAAATCTTGTTCATATTAGAAAATTCAAAATAAGTTTTTTTGGAACAGAAAAAATAAATTTAAAATATGATTTAAAATATTAATTCATAAAAAACCCTTATATGTATGTGTACAATTAAAATTTAACTTTCGACATTGCAAATACAAAATTAATATAAACGTATGAACCTTTAAATTTCATAAATAAAAATAAACCTAATCCTTATTTCCTCGCTGAGTGTGTTCAATTTTCATTACTTCAGTTTGCCTATGTTTCATCCCTTTTTCCACAAATTAAATTTGGAGTGTTGCAATTATGAAATTTCTGTCGTCTGTTTTGAATCTAAATTTTTTTAAAATTCTGGAACTATTAACCCTGAGACATTTTTCTTTGTTTTTTTTTGTCATTTATTTTTCGAATTCTCGTTCACTTCATATAAAATACGTTAATTGTACTAAATTCTTTTAATATTATTAAAAAATAAATGATATTTGTTTTTATGTTATATTTGTTTTTCTTCAAAATTTAATTTCAAATATACGTACATATGTACATGTAAAAAAGGATTTAATTTTCGAAAATGAAATGATGTTCAAAAGTAATGTGATGAAGTTGTAAAATCAATAATGTGAGCCAATAATTGTTGAGATGAAACGAAACTTTTTTAAAGGTATGAGATTATTTAAAAAAAAAATGTACATAAGAAAAAATGAAAATAAAGTACATATACATAAATGCTTTCGATAATTATTTTTTTTTCATATTATTCAATATCTATATGCTGCTCAATATTTGCCGCTAGTTCTCTTAAACGTTTGCGTCCCTTAATTGGATAAAGATTACTTCCAGTTACTGTTTGTTTTTTATTATTTATGCTATTGTTTTGCTGGGATTTTTCATTTTTTGATGGAACTGATGCAGAACGTGTCTTACGCTTCGGTAAGACTCGACTACGTGCAGCACCCGATTGTACTACAACGGTTGATTGTAATGCTTCACTAAAATTTTCATCAAATTCATCGTAGGTTTCTAAAGATTGTGGTATAAAACGTTCATCATCTGATGATCCTTGATATAAATATTCATCTTGAAATTCAAATGATGGTGGGCATTTTATATCCATTGACTGTGAACGTGGCATTATATTGTCATTATTATTATTGCTTGATAAATGTTGATCATTAATATTATCTGTTTGATCACTATTTGTTGTCGAAATGGTTGCTCTATTTCTTAAACCATATCTTGACGAAATAGCATTTTCGGAGCGACTTGATGTTAACATACGTCTTTGTTCTAATTGCATTGATCCTTGGCCAAATGTCTATATTATATATATATATACATATATAATGATGAAAATTTTAATTTAGGAAATGGTTGGGCAAATTAAAATTAATAGAAAAAAAGAAATTAAAAAAAAAGGATGGGAAAAAGTATGTATGTACATATAAAAAATGATATTATTTTTAAATTAAAATCATAAGGAATTGTTTTTTCTTGTATTATTCATGTAGATTTTAATTAGGATAAATTCAATATTTTCGGATATAGGTTTTTTTAAGAATTTTACACAATATTTTTGGCTAAAATCTTCATAACATTTTTTTGACTATTTAGTTTTCTTTTTCTAAGTATTTAAAGTTTTTTGTAAGTTATAATAATTTACATTGTTCTCACTTTGTATTTCGTTACAAAAAAATTTAAATTTTTTGGCAAATGTGACAGTTTGTTATTATGAATGGGGAATTCGATTAAAAAACTGGCGACTGAAAATACGATGTCGATGTATTGTGACAGATTTCATTAGAAGATAGTAAAATACCTACTTTCAATACTGTACAATGCCGCCATCGCTAATCCATCGCTATACATAATGCTAGCGAATACAAAATGCTAGCAAATTCGTCAAATTACCGATATCACGATTCGTTGAATGAATTAAATAATGAGAGTTGAATTAAATATTTTAACTAAAACAAGTACGTGTGTGTACAAATATAACAAAGTGAAACCTCCTAAGAATTTCATTTTTAACCTAAATATGTATGTATATTACTTGTTTTCTCTTTTTTTTATTAATTTTTAGATAAAATTAAAAATGTAAATTATTCATTATAATTTCAATTCACGGTTCAAAACTTATGAGCAGAACACCTAAAATATAATTTTTTTTTGTTTTGAAATTTATTGTTAAAAGTTAGAACGGAAACAGAGGTAAATTCAACATTGTTTTTTCAATTCAAATGTGATTCACCCGAAAACAAAAAAAAAAAATAAAATCTCAAAACAAATTTATATTAAATAGTTACCAGGTGAAACAAGACAAAAAAGAAAAAAAATTCAACATAACTTAGTATTATGGAAGTGGAAAAAAAAAAGAAAAATACAGATAACTTATAGAAAGAAAAAATGATTTTCAAATTGTTCCACTTTTGATATACTCAATATTAATTCTATTGTTATAAGTGTATTTTGTAATTATTTCTCGACCGAAACATTAAAATAGAATTACTAAATTTCAAAATATATAAGAACAAATATTTTAAACTCACATGTATGTACAAAGTTCAATAAGCTTTTCACACCTTCTACTTAATTTTAAACTAATTATTTGATTCTGTATTTATTACCTATCCAGAAATTCAGGAATATTTATGAAAATTTAAAAGAATTTAGAACCGGATTCGAATTGAACCGGATTTTTTTCGTGGTAAATTTTTGTGATAAAAGAAATTTATTTAAGTTTTGAAATTATTATTAGAAGGTTTTAGAGACATTTATTGCCGTATTTACATTTACTCATTTGCATACAGGTAGTGCACATATTAAAAATTCTAGCAGATATTTATAGATTCTCAAGAACATAATTCCAAATCATAAACAAATTAAGTAACATTTAAATAGTTTAAAATTCAGGGCAATGCATGAACATTAAAAAAATAAATTATCATAAAGAAATATTCAAAAAGGCTTAATATACATACTTATTTAAACAAATAAGTACGTATATTAATAAAATTCGAGGAATTTCATATTATTCTAAATCAATATTGAGTCAGTCTTAAATTATACTATTATTAGTATATTATATTATGCATTATATTATGCACGTCTTAGGAGTCATTCTTTTGGAAGTATTTCTATTTTTCATTTTCTTTTAATTTTATGATATTCATTTAAAAATTATTTGATTTATATCTATAATTTAATGAACCTATTTAATTCACGGCTGATGACCATTCCTCTTTCATATTATATGTGAATGTAATTTATTTCTTTTATTTTTGTTAAATTAAGTATTAAATTAAACTAAGAAAGTAAAATAAAATACAATGAGGATAATTCTGTTGCACACACCAAATTTCATTAATTATATTTCATTTCATTAAAAAAAAACAAAAATTTAAATTTTTTTAAACTGTAAATTCAATAAGTAATACAAAATACTAAGAAATTATACAGTGAAATTCATTCGAATATAGCAATAATTGACATTTTAAAAAATAATTTTACAATCGACACTATTTAGATATTTAAAATTTTGTTTTTGTAAGTATTTTTATTGAGTTAAACTTTATAATGCGGTCATGTTATAATTAAAAAAATTAAGTTTTTTTCTAAGTTGATGATGCAAAGGTCATAAAATAAATTTAAAAATGTAAAAATTTGATATTTATCCTCCATCCGAACTCAAAATTCGAAACTTCATAAATACAAAAATTAGATATATTAAAATTGTTAAATTCGTTACAATAATAAAAAAACCAAATTCATGAATTGAGAAGACAAAATATACTTTTATTCCAGGTGAATGAGCTAATTTTAAAAAAGATTAACAATGGGAACAAAATAATATTAATTAAATCAGTCAAATTTAAAACAATTTTTCTAAATATGTATAACATAATTTTTGCTAAAAACATTTGTTTTTTACTAATTATTTGTTTTTGGCAAATACACAATTATTGATATAAATAAATTTCACTATATTTATTAAAACTTTTCGCCTTTATCTCTTTTTCCTCAACACCAAATCTTTTTAGTTGTGCCTTTTTTCATAAATAATATGGTGCTAAATAATGAAAATTATTTTTAAAACATTCATAAAATTGAATTTTTTTTAAATGTTTATGTATGTATAGTATAAGTATATTAGAGCATATTATTATTATATTAGAAAATGTGCACATATAAAGTATGTTAAATCAAAATAAATTAATTTAAACAATGATGACAGTATAATTAAAATGACATCAATATTTTTATTTAAAAAAAATCATAAAAAACCCAAATTTCAAAATTGATTAACGAAACGAATTAAGAAAAAAACAGTCCGATTATTATATAATATCATTATAAATAAAATATTTAACGATAAATATAAGAAAAATCAACCAAATAGCCAAGAATTAAAAAAGAGCATCGTGGTTAGCCATAAAACATTTATAATATTATTTAAAATAAATAAAATTATAAATATATATGTATGTATAAATAATAAAAAATGCAAAAAAAATTCAAAATAAAAAAATATATGTATGTTGAACATGAAATTTTGGTAGTTTGTTAAACAAAATAAGAAATAACGACAAATGAGTTAAAATAAAGATAAAATAAAGAAAAAGTGAAAAAAAAAGAAAAAGAAAATTATATAAAATAAAATTTCATTAAAATTTTGTGCGTTTTTCTCTTAGTTTTATAAATATAAAAAAATTTTTTAATAATTCTAAGTGTATATTATATTATTTTTAATTAATTTAGGATTTATTTTTTTTAATAAATTCTTATAAAAGACCAAATTTGGAAGATTATAATAAGCAATGCAAAAACTAATTAATTTATATTGAAAATTAAATTAATTTTGTCAAAATTTAATAAATTAAATTTTAAAAGTTAAAATTTAAAATAAGTTAATTAAAAATTTAAAAGCAACATTTATAAAACATATGAAAATATTTATTAAAGAATTGAAAGTAACATGAAAAAATGAATAAGAAAATAATATAAAAAAAGAATACATTTTTTGAATACTATTAAATACATTTTAAATTTTCAAGAAGTAATAAAATCTACTTCTTTCTAAATAAAAAAAAATCTGTGTTTTTCATATTAAATTTATAATGTTTGTAAATTTTAATATTATCGGTCAAATAAATAATTTTGTTTAAATTTTTTTATTATATAAATTTCTAGTTCGATTTCATAATAGATGATTATTTAATCTTTTTCTGAATGGTATTAACACGTATGTACGTGTACGATATTTAAAAATTAAATTCATATACATATGTATGTATACATTCAAATCTTTATACCTTAAGAGCTGTTTGCATAATAACATTTGTTGCATAATTAACACCCTTAGAGCCAAGTTGTATAACAGCTGTATAACCACGTTCTTTTGCTTGGTTGAGGTACTCATCAATTTCCTACAACAAAAATACAAAAAAAAAATTAAATAACGTTTTTAAAAAAAATTTATTCGATACTTACTTGTTCCCTTCTAGTTAACATTGGGTGCACAAATTTTCGATACAAAACTGAGCTACCCTTTGTTGCAGGATTCAATAACCATAATACAACTATAACTTTTACCTCATAATAAAGCGGAAGCCATGATAAAAATATATCTGTAAAGGTTTCTATACATGTAAAAAATGCAAAAACTATCCAATACATCATCCATTTAACCTGAAAATAAAAAAGTATCAAAAATAATATCCTTATTATTTTTTATTATATTTTAATTTTGTTAAATTATAAATAATAGGTTACTTAATTATGAAATATTGAATTTAAAAATTAAACTAATTCTGTAAAATTAGATATTTTAGACTACACCAATTTAAAAACATACCAAAATTCAAATTATAGCTATATTAGGAAATATTTTATTAATTCAAATAAATTCATTATAAATTTTTACGATTTGAAAATTACTATACCACAGTCATTAATGTATACATACTGTATATTTTATTTACATAATATATTTTTGAGTGCAATTTTACCGAAAATTATGAAGAAAGAGTTTAAAAAAGTTAAAAGGCAAAAATTAATTTATCACTAATTTAATTTTGAAACGTTCGTTTTATATGTCTATATCTTTGATACGTAAAATCATGAATAAGAAACACCGTGTAAAAGAACCCTCGATTAATTTTTAATGCAGTATCGCATAAATTAACAGGTATCTATTCGCTTAATTCACAGATATTTCCAAACACGAATCTCCTTTATTGTCACCAAATTTCGATTAAAATTACATCCTCTGTTGCTGATAAAAGTGGGTGATCCGTCATTTATTAGGCAGAGGTCCTGTTTATTCTCCAACAAATCTTCTAGTTCGCGACCATTTTTGTTGTTTGTTTTGTTCCCCCCATTCTTGGCTTCGTGCGTTTTAGATATGGCGCAGAGGCGCTTTTAATGACTTCTTCTATGACTCTGAAATTGATCGTATTTGTCGAGTGCACATAGGTGTTGATTAACGTCACCTTTTTCGGGATACCTGGCAGGAAGAGTTTTACGGCTATGATTACTTCTTTTGTTTGTGTCGATATGTTGAAGGAATTTTTTGGTAGTTTTTATCAGTCAAAAAATTTGGAATCGATTTTGACGTTGTCAAAAAAAAAATTTTTATTGAACAGACCTTTTTCAAAAAATTAGTGTTGAAGACACTTATGTTGAAAATTTCATATTGAACGATCTTTAATTATAAATAATGATTGTTTTTATTATTTTTGTTCAAAATCTTTTTAATTGATTAATTTGAGTTTGAAACACTAATATGACAATGTTTCTAATAAATCTCTATTATTTAGGTAAAGTTTTAATTGTTTTTAAATCTTTTGACAATTTTTATAATTTTTTATTTGAAATTAGAAAAGTTTTTGTAAGTTACCGGCACGGTGGTAACCGAAGTTACCGGCATGGTGGTTTGTATTGAACACTTACATTCAATACAAATTTGCACTATGCCAGGGATTTTTGACTGTAACCTAAATTATATATTAATCGCCCGATTGCGAAATATTATTTTAAGAGTAATTAATACTGTAAAATTAACAATTGAGATTTAATAAGCACGTCTTTTCGCTTTAAGTTAACACGATAGACTGCACAAGATCAAAATTTTATATTATAGTACGGACGGACAAATTTTTTAGTTTAGAAGTAGTTTTCAATTGAAATTTTTATTTCCAAATTTGACGTTGTCAAAATGGGTAGTTTTTATAAAGTTTGACGTTGTCAAAAAATTTGGAACCGATTTTGACGTTGTCAAAAAAAAATTTTTATTGAACACACCTTTTTCAAAAAATTAGTGTTGAAAACACCTATGTTGAAAATTTCATATTGAACGACCTTTAATTATAAATAATGATTGTTTTTATTATTTTTGTTCAAAATCTTTTTATGTTCAATATGACAATGTTTTTAATAAATTACTAGTATTCAAGTAAAGTTTTAATCGTTTTTAAATCTTTTGACAATTTTTATGAATGTTCATTCCAGGATAAAAACGATTTGTAAGTCGACAGTTTTGTGTTAACCGCCGCCGCGGCACGCTTTATTTCAATACAATTCTGCAGAATGCCTGGGAATTTTGCCAGTGACTAAAATTATATATTGACCGCCTGATTGAGAAATAATATTTTATGAGTTATTGAAACTGTTAAAATTGATAATTGAGTTTTAATTAGCACATCTTTTTGCTTTAAGTTAACATAATAGACTTAATTGTCAAACAAAAACAAAGTTTACATTTCAGAATATTTTTTTAAATTGGCATTATAAATAATATTAAAATTTCCAACCTATTACCTAGTATATTTTTCTACACCACAATCAACCCAAAAAGTCAAAAATTAATGTTGTCAATTTAAATATTAATCAAGGTATACTAAGACGTTTCGAAATCCACTGTATACAATTCGGAACCCGCTATTTTTTAAGATATAATACGAACAGTAATAACGAATACGGAATTGTGCAAACGTAATTTTTCTAGTGCCAATTTTGGCTACAGTAAACTTAACATATGCACCTTGTGCACGTGTATGCATATGTATATCAACACATTTCTGATTTTTAATTTTTGAAATATGTGTCTACTTTCATTTGTAACAATTTAAAAAAACAAAGATGTTTAAAAAATTAACCTAAATTAACCTAAAAAATTAACCTAGATTATAAAAACCTAAAAAATTCAGGTTGAAAAAAATTCTGATCGTGTCATAAACAAAAACAATGAAAGTTTTAAATTAATAGTTAGCAATTTTTTTAAATCCTTGCAACGTCCCACAGCGTTTTTTTGGTTCCCTAAGGTTCTTCGAAACTTCGAAAAAAATTTTTAAACTTTTACTTGAGAAACTTGAAAACAAATTGCTATTATACTTCTGTACCATTAATTATATTGGAAGCTCAAATTGCTCATATTTATTATACTTTTTCCTCTGTAAAGTACAAAAATCCCAACTATGAATATAAAAATCAATAGACTAAAATTTTAGTATAAAATTACTATTAACTTCGCCGAATTTTCCATTTAATTTAAACATTTAACCTGGTGTAATGGTTTATCGAGTGCAAATATTGAGGTGGTAAAAAATTACTATCACATTGTACGAGTTTGAAAGGTTTTACAAAAAGAAAACACGCACTGATTTTGACATCCGCCACTACTTCAAGATTGGTATCATTTTTAATTATCATGCCTACCTACGACTGCTAAAATTACTTCATGCGATATTTGCTTGCAATTGACTATCCCTACATGGGTAGATTTTAAACCGTTTCAAAAATTATCAAAAAATTTTAATTAATCAAATATACAACACAAGTTTTGTTTGTAAATAAAATTTATCGAATACGGGACTTTTTTTCGTAATCACTGAATGCACTCAATGAATTTTGAAAATATGCAAAATTATTTATTGATATAAACGTACTTGCTGCATATATTTATTATTCAATGCGGAATGCACCATTCAATAGTATTATCATTCCTTTTTCTAAAAAAATCATCATTAATGTTATTTAAATTACAATGTTAATTCTTCTACTACTATAAGTATGTGCGCTACATGTATGTTATGTATTATTTATACAATATATAAAATTTCATTTTATTTTTTCTTTGTTCCTTTTAAATCGGTAATTTTCAGTTCAATCAAAAAAAAAAAAGGAAAAAATTAAAATGAAAAAAAACATGAAATAAATTTTACATAAAAACCGATTAATATTCTTTAGTTATAAATGCTTTTTGTATACACAAAAACTGAACTTTATCAAACCAACGCGATTTATACATTTCTATACACACTTCTGTTTTTATTTAACATCTCAGTTGAAAGATATTTTGTTATACATCTGGCCACATCACGTCTTTGCTGTTTTGTAATAAAAGACATTTTAAAGATTAGTTTCTTTTTTTTAATAAAAATTCCTGATTTTATAATTTTTTTAGCTATTTTCAAAATTTATTTATTCTATTACAAATATTCGTATATACGAGTACATACACACAATATTATTATGAAAAGAATATTTAAATTTCAATTTTATTTTCATAATTTAAAAGAGTGCTGTAATTTTTTTTCCTTTACAATTTCCTGAGGATACATAGGGCCCCCACATAGTCTCGCCACCTCACTCTGATTTTGGCTATGTTCTTAATTTCCGACCAAGTCTCGTTGATCCATTCTGTTCCAGCGCTTGACAACCTTCATCTATTTCTGGGTGCTTGATAGTCCATTTCCTTCTTCTTATTTGCATATATGTCGGATCTTGTTGTGCCATACGCCAAAACTCTTTATTTCTGTTCTTCTATGGCGGAAGATCCCACATATTATTTTGAGACAGTAGCGAAGACCTGTATTTTTTGTGATGTTGGTTTTGTTGTCAACCAAGTCTTACTTCTATATTTTAAGGTCTCTTTCAATTTTTTTGTTGCATTTTAAATATATGCAATCATTTGAGATTTTGATATATGATATTTCGTATTAAAACCAGAATTATGACTTTTTAAAGAGAAAAGTACTCTTTAAATTGGTTTGATTCAATTTCCTTTGCTCATATTTTGGCTGTTATTCAAAAAGTATTTATACACTCTTATGTACTCAACACTTCTTTTATACATACATACTAATCTATTCTAAATTGGTTTATAAATTAATACACAAATTAAGAACATTTTGAATTTAGACACGAAAAATTTTATTAAAAGAATGTGAAAATTATTTTTGCTGCGTATTTCTTTCTAATAAAAATAATCGAGGTACTTGAAAAAAACTAAATTTAAATTAAACACACATAATAAATGTTTTATACATAACAAAAGATTTGATCTGTGCGACAGCCAGCGATGCAACATTCATTTCACTAATATGAAAATTTTTCCGGTGGATTATTGAACTTTAATGTTATTTAATTAAAAGTTGAATTTAAGTTTTTCATACACGCTTTTCTTTTTTTTATACCCTGCACTTCGTGAAGGGTATACGAGTATTAACTTTAGTTGAATTTAAGTTTTTCATACACGCTTTTCTTTTTTTATACCCTGCACTTCGTGAAGGGTATATTAACTTTGGTATGGAGTTTGTAACTACTTGAAGGAGTCATCTGGGGTATGGACATATATATATATTCTTTATAGGATATATATATATGTATGGACATATGTATATATTTTT